CAACAGTCTTTTCCAGTGTTGTACGACATAGTCTTTTCCAGTTTTGTACGACAGAGTCTTTTCCAGTGTTGTACGACAGAGTCTTTTTCAGTGTTGTACGGGACAGTCTTTTACAGTGTTGTACGACAGTCTTTTGCAGTGTTGTACGACAGAGTCTTTTTCAGTGTTGTACGACAGTCTTTTCCAGTGTTGTACGGCAGAGTCTTTTTCACTGTTGTACAGGACAGTCTTTTCCAGTGTTGTACGGCAGTCTTTTCCAGTGTTGTACGACAGAGTTTTTCCAGTGTTGTGCGACCGAGTCATTGCCAGTCTCTCCAGTGTTGTACTGCCGAGTCTTTTCCAATGTTGTAAGACAGGTTTTTTTCCAGTTTTGTACGACAGTGTCTTTTCCAGTGTTGTACGACAGAATCTTTTTCAGTGTTGTACGACCCAGTCTTTTCCAATGTTGCACAATCACGTCAAAGGGTATAACCGTGTTTGAATTTCAGGAAAGTAGTATGTATCAAACTGGTCGTGGTTACAAAGATGGAGGTCAGGGACACTGACACAGTGACATTGTATCATGTTCATATAAATCACAGGCATTACGTTGTAAACTGACGTTGTAAACTAACGTTGTAAACTGACGTTGTAAACTCAGGACCGGGAGAGGCTATACCTCTCTGTTGATTTAATCATGTTTTATTTTAAATTGAAAATACCATACGTTATCGATATTACATAAAAAACTGAAATGTATTAGCACTTAGTCAGTAAACAGAGAATACGTTATCGATATTACATAAAAAAACTTAAATGTATTAGCACTTAGTCAGTAAACAGAGAATACGTTATCGATATTACATAAAAAACTGAAATGTATTAGCACTTAGTCAGTAAACAGAGAATACGTTATCGATATTACATAAAAAACTGAAATGTATTAGCACTTAGTCAGTAAACAGAGAATACTTCTGCATTGTTTGATTTATATGTTTTAAACATGCTTAAAAATCTCATAACACAGCTGCTGATGGATATCTTAGACATCTTATCTTTGAAAATCAGTTGCTGTTTTCGGCACACTTTAGACATGTAGGGGTCATGTGGTTACAAACTGCTTACCGCAATCTTCACTGAACCAATAATTATCCGGCCACACATCACTTCTTACAAACAACTGCAGAAATTAGTAATGGTTAAATAATTTAAGACAAAATCAATATTAACAACATTTCTTTCAATTTTCAATTACATATAAATATAAACTCGGTAGACGTTCTTTTGTACCTTTATGGTAGACACAAACTTTGAAATCAGTATGAACGTCAGTGGTGACTTCGAGTCACGTGACTACACGCCGCGTATCTAAAATGGGTTCTGTCTCTGATCTCACTAGTGGACGGGCAAAGTGAGGCGGGAACCAACTGACGGTGTATCAGTTCACAATGCCAATGTCTCTCTTAATCAGTTTGATCATAGTGATTACCTTTGAATAACCATGCGGTAGGTGGGGTAGGTGTTCTGAAGGGTACCCTTCATTCAAAAGTGAAAATTATTGTGAAACCACACCTTGAAATCACAAGTATTGAATCTTTATTGCAACCGATCACACCGTATTTATAAAGGGGCCTGATGCATTGACCTTTGAAGAAACTAATGTCAAAATCCGTTGAACTGACCTCCGTCGGCCAAACATCAAGTTAAAACGCAATTCTCTTTAGGGATTTAGGATTTGGGAGTAACGCAATGTATGTGCACACTGAAGTTCTTGAAGTGAGTAAAGTTTAAAGATGCTTTCAGCAATGTCCAAGCCACATTGGGGCGGGGAAGACTATGAATAGGCACACACATTGTTCACACGATGGGAGTAGAAAGCGAGTGTTCGACGTCACGAGCAAACCCGTCTCGTATTAGGCTGCTCCTGAACCGTAATGAACCACCGCGGTGTAGTGGATAGAGCGTCTGCCCGGGGAGCGGGGTAGGTGGTTCGATCCACTGTCCGCATCGGCATTAACGTGATAAATCGAGGACTGGCTAACCAATCGCTGAAAAGACAAATGTGTTTACAAAATGAAACGTATGTTATACTTACTACTTACAACAATAATTTCAAGCATTTATTTCGCCCAAAATGTCGATTGCTTAACTTTCCTTGCAAATCGTATCTTGAAAGAAAATCCACAGAAAGTCCGAAAGAGAAATTCAAGAACAGTTGACGAAACAGTATACCGGACAAATGTGTCTTTTGTCTCCGACTTTCAATATATGTCAAAGTCTCAATCACAGCTTATCACGTGTCTCGATTTCTAAATGTCAAGTTCTCCGCTGTGAGGATTGAACATGACTTTCTGCAAGTAATTACTCCTGTTATCATAAGTCTTTCATTAGACAAGCGTCTCCCAGTATGAATCCTCATGAGTTATGCACGACGGGTAATCAAATATGGATAGTTCAAGACAATACGGGACTTGTAGATCTCGACAGTGAAATGTACACCTGTTTCCGTTTTAGTTGTAAATCACAGTCTTTTACACAGTTAGGAATCCTGGAATTTGTCTTCAAGTATTAAGAAACCTGATATGAGTTTTGTATTTGGTTGTAAGATAGCAAAGTAAGAATTGAACTCGTGGAATGGAAACCGCTTTTTGGTGACTAGATCTGAGATATGAACGGTAATAAAGACAGTGAAATTGACACCAAAAGACTGATGAATTAGTAAATCTCAAGTACATGTATTGTAATAATTTTCTGGACCAGTACGGAATCACACAAACCACTGTCAGATACTATGATACCGATTTGTCAACTGTTTCATATTATTTGATCACATATTCGCCTTGTCTGAACTTTAGAAAATGAAAATGTAGAGCTGCCTGTAGTCGACATACAGAGGTTCCTGTGTTTCACGTTCAGAACTCTCTGTAGTACACGTGCAGCTCTACCTGTGTTGGACATACAGAGCTACATGTGTCCGACATACAGAGGTCCCTGTGTTTCACGTTCAGAACCCTCTGTAGTACACGTGCAGCTCTACCTGTGTTGGACATACAGAGCTACATGTGTCCGACATACAGAGATCCCTGTGTTTCACGTTCAGAACTCTCTGTAGTACACGTGCAGCTCTACCTGTGTTGGACATACAGAGCTACATGTGTCCGACATACAGAGGTCCCTGTGTTTCACGTTCAGAACCCTCTGTAGTACACATGCAGCTCTACCTGTGTTGGACATACAGAGCTACATGTGTCCGACATACAGAGGTCCCTGTGTTTCACGTTCATAACTCTCTGTAGTACACATGCAGCTCTACCTGTGTTGGACATACAGAGCTACATGTGTCCGACATACAGAGGTCCCTGTGTTTCACGTTCATAACTCTCTGTAGTACACATGCAGCTCTACCTGTGTTGGACATACAGAGCTACATGTGTCCGACATACAGAGGTCCCTGTGTTTCACGTTCAGAACTCTCTGTAGTACACATGCAGCTCTACCTGTGTTGGACATACAGAGCTACATGTGTCCGACATACAGAGGTCCCTGTGTTTCACGTTCATAACTCTCTAAAGTACACGTGCAGCTCTACCTGTGTTGGACATACAGAGGTCCCTGTGTTTCACGTTCAGAACCCTCTGTAGTACACGTGCAGCTCTACCTGTGTTGGACATACAGAGCTACATGTGTCCGACATACAGAGGTCCCTGTGTTTCACGTTCAGAACTCTCTGTAGTACACATGCAGCTCTACCTGTGTTGGACATACAGAGCTACATGTGTCCGACATACAGAGGTCCCTGTGTTTCACGTTCAGAACTCTCTAAAGTACACGTGCAGCTCTACCTGTGTTGGACATACAGAGCTACATGTGTCCGACATACAGGGGTCCCTGTGTTTCACGTTCAGAACTTTCTGAAGTACACATGCAGCTCTACCTGTGACTGCCTGTGTTCCACGTGTAGAACTGCCTGCGGTCGACGTTCGCAACTGCCATTGTTCCACGTGCAGAGCTGCCTGTGGTCGACGTGTAAAGCGCTCTGAGTTTGTTAGCGGTGGCGGTTGTCCCTTATCCGGACAACTCGGCGGTTCGAGTCCCTGTTCGCCCTGATTACGAGTCTTGGTTTGTGTGCACAATACTCGTACTCATGAGTTTCACCACTTGTTAAACGTCTTCGACTTGCTTCACTTCGGAATTGTCCTCCACATTAACCTGATATTCCGTGCTAGTACTTGTCACTGTTACAGCGCAGATAGTCGTGTGTGTGTACCTGTCCCAGGAAATGTGTTGTAAACGAGAAGGTAAACGAGTCAAAGCATGTTGGCCTCGACATTTGTGTACATAAATATTGAACTACACCAGCAATATTAATCACATGATGAGGTTCAACACACGTCATCAATACTTCACCTATCTACGAAGAATTAATGTAAATAAATGCCATTTAACACTGGCACCCTGCGGAACACAGCCGTAAGGCAACATTTTACAGTCACTTCTATTACTATGGGATACGCAAAATTCATCATGAAAGTCAGAGTTAACTGCCCTTTTCTGTAGAAATCTTTTGCTGGATTCGGCTCACAACAGTTTTGAATGTAAAACGTTTTTGTTTTTGAGGAAACATTGTGCTTTCATCTGCTGCAGGCGATACACTCCACCAGACTGTGTGCTGCACGTGCATATCATGCAGAATGTGATATAATATCAAGACCTGAATGTATTGCTGTACGAAAATATATACTTTCTTTTACAAATTTCTGTCTGTGGTTGCAAATCATCCTCAACCGCGGGTGATTGATACAAATTTAAAACATGTCTTTACACATTTCTATATAACTACAACTACAAATTGTCGGTGTATAAATGTTTAATTTGTTCGTGTTCACAGATGCTTGTAATATAAACCTGTGAAGACAGATTGGCGACACATTGATAACAGGACACCCACACTCGGACCGTAGGGTCAGGTTCTCCCCACCCCCGCCGTGTTGTGAAACGTATAAAGGAGAAATAACACACTATCAGTGACAAATTGTTTTATTCGTGCTGCAGAGTTTGGTAATTTTCACAATTCCACAATTTTTAAAATAGGCAATAGTTGCCATACATGAACAAGCATTCTCGCTCATATTGGAACCTCACCTATCAAGGTTGATTCAATGCAATAGGCCTCACTCTCCTGCAATAAAGAGATAAGAAAGGAAAAATCAACGCCAACATCAAACTAGTACAAGTGTATGCAAGTTGAGTGAAGTGTATGTAAAATCTCACACGAACCAGTGTCCATATTTGACAACGCATTATATCAGTGAAGATCCGGGGTAGAATAGGCCTCCAGCAACCCATGCTTGTCGTAAAAGGGACTATGCTTGTCAAGAGTCAAGAGTCAAAGATGTTTATTGTATCAAAGGCCATCGGCCCATATACAAGTTCAGATAAATACAGTGGGTGAGAATTTACAGATTGGGAGATTCAACAAAAATTACATAAATATAACATTCATTTAACAATCGGTGATAATCATGAGGACTTTCTAGGGTGAGGTAATTAAAATTATGAATTTCCACTCAACATGTTATTTCGTAGTTCCATCCCATGTTTTACAAATAAAGACAGTTTAAACATTACATCGGCATCATTCGATGACAAAATAGAAACAAAAGCTATTCTACTCGTCTTAGATAAGAAACATTCTGGTATATATTTAGTACGTAATTCTGCATAATAAGGACATTCAAAGGTAAAATGTATTTCGTCTTCTATTGCAGAGTTACAGAATGGACAAATTCTTTGTATTCTTTCAAGTGATATATTCCGTCCATAGTTAATCATAAGTTTTGACAAGCCAAGTCTGTATTTAATATATCCATTTCTTAGGTGACTATTTGTTAAAACTGATAGATATTTTTCTGGCTCTAATAGAGTCTTAAATGTTCTGTACAAATCATAACGTGAACTGTTTTCCAAGTTGCATTGCCACCCTTGATAGAACATATTTATTGCTATTTTACGAAAATCATTTAGAAATAAATGTTGATCACCAACAGATTGGTTAAGCCATATATACCCATATCCATGTGAGAATAATAGTGTCCTAGTATGCGATACCCATGTAACCTTACCGATACTATCTAAATGAAAGAGCATGTTATAAGCTTTTTTCGGAAGCCGATGTTCTGGCATACGGATGATATTAAACCAATATTTTAAACACTTTATTTGTGAATTAATGTAAAGTGGGTATCTTCCACATTCTCCATATATCATATTATTTGGTGTTGCTATTCCAACGCGAAGAAACTTTTTACATGCCAGTAGGTGAATTATTTCTAAACATTCATATCTTCGGTAACCCCACACTTCAGATCCATACAATAAAATTGGCTGTATTTGAGTATCAAATAATTTGAAAAATACTTTTGGAGTAATAACTCCAAGTTTATGTGAAACAGACATTATATTAAGTAAAGCTCGTTTCCCTCGCAGTGATAAGTCAGATACACATTTGTTCATATTTAGTGTTGAATTAAACATTATGCCGAGATACTTATAACCATTAACTACATTAACTTGTTGTCCATTTAAGTACCATCTTTCCCTAAAATTTAAAGGACCCCCTTTTCTGAATACTATAATTTCTGTCTTATCTAAATTTACAGATAAATTCCATTCCTTAGTATATTTATCTAATACATTCAACTGATTCTGTAGACCAATAACAGTGTCAGATAGTAAAATAACATCATCGGCAAAAAGGAGCATAAGAAGTTCGAGGATGTCAGGATACATCTGTATACCATGCTTGCCGTTACTTGAGATTTCATAATATAATTCGCTTATGAAAAACGAAAATAACAGAGGACTCAGTATACATCCCTGACGTAAACCAGATGGGCAATCGATAAAATCAGTAACACCATAATCACTACGTACACATGACTTGATATTTGAATACATTGATTGTAGTATATTAAACATCTTCCCTTGTAGTCCAGCTTTTCTTAAACAACACCATAATTTATAACGATCAACTGTATCAAATGCCTTTTTAAAATCAATAAAAGCAACGTAAACCTTGTGTTTACGACGTGTTAGACATTTTTGAATTGCAGCATATAATGTAAAAATATGATCTATGGTTGAATAATTTTTTCTAAAACCAGCTTGAACTTCCGGTATCTTATCTCTCATATTCGCCCAGTTAGTAAGCCTGTTATTCAAAACAGAGGTAAAAATTTTCCCCAGAACACTCATTAATGAGATCCCCCTGTAGTTGTCAGGGTTTCTCGGATCGCCTTTTTTATGTAGAGGGACTATTTCTGAACAAGACCAACTGTTTGGAAATATTTGATTATGAAAGAGTTTGTTGAAACATTTATGAAGAAATGGCATAATATCCAATTGGGAACATTTAAGCATTTCTATCAGCACTTGACTATGCTTGTCGTAAGAGGCGACTAACGGGATCGGGTGGTCAGACTCGCTGACTTGGTTGTAGGAGTGAAACGATACATCGGTGCATCGTAAGTTTTCATATGATGATAAGATACACGATAATTCATTTTCTGTATCGATACAGTGAGTGAGTGAGTGAGTGAGTGAGTGAGTATGGTTTACACCGCTTTTAGCAATATTCCGGCAATATCACGGCGGGGGACACCAGAAATGGGCTTCACACATTGTACCCATGTGGGGAATCGAACCCGGGTCTTCAGCGTGACCAGCGAACGCTTTAACCACTAGGCTCCCCCACCGCTCCTGTATCGATACAAGATGATACACGGAATGAAATATATTACTCACAATTCGTTTAATGACCCTGGCGTTTTTGTCAGTCAGATATTGCAAAATATGCTGGGATTAGTGTTTCAATTTCACTACTAAAAAAACCCACAACGAACAGCTAGGTGTTCCTTTTGAACCTGCTCTGAAATATTTATTGTCATGACGTTTCCATGCGATTTGACGTAAATATTCGTATGTGACCTGTGTCGAGATAGGTATCGTATGGCTACCTTCCTGTATCGCTTCACCCCAACCTTGTCGATGCATGTTATCGTATCCCAATTGCGTAGATCGATACTCTTGATGTCAATCACTGGATTGTATGGTCCAGACTCGATTTTTTTACAGACGGCCGTCATGTAGCTGGAATATTGCTGAGTGTGGCGTTAAACAACAAACAACAACAACGACAACACATTAGCATATGCGCATTCTCTATACAAACATAAATGAACTTTTCATAAAAAATGCCGCTACTCTTACTCAGGTGACGTATATATTCGAGTAACATCCTTTGCCAATACTGCCTCTCAGGAATACTGACATGTTTTGCACTACCCGCATAAAACACTCTCTTGAACAGTAACGCCGTTCAATACTTACAAGCAAATGTTGCTACGAGTTTGTAGCACCCAAGGTAGATGTCGCCATGTGTGAGGTTCACAACGAAGGTGTAGACACCAGGAAGCAGGAAGGCTGCGAACACGCGGAACGTTGCCACGGGGAGGTTGTAGGTGCCCTTTAAACAAACCGTGGGATGAAGTAAGTGAGGGTTTCAGGTAAACCAACGTCTCAACTGTCGGTAGAAAACCATAAAGTGACGTAGGTCGTAGACGTTTTACCACTTCGGAAGTGACTGTGCCATAATCGGTGCGAATCAGGGTATTATGGAATGATATATATCCTTACCTTAATCCAATTAAACAGCAAATCGCACCGCCTGTTGGCGCCGAGTAGCGCACACTTCCGTAAAAAACAATTAACAGTGTTTTCCTAAAAGCAACACACACTTTATATGTTTATTCTGTTGACTGGCATTAAGGAGGTTCAAAGGCAATAAAATAACTGAACCAATATCTTAGTATATTTTTCTATATTTTCAAAAACAAATTTATCTAAGGATAGCAAATACAATTTTGGTTTCTTGGAGAATGTTCCTTAATTGCTCTTAAACTACATAATTTGTTTTAAGTATTGACGTCAATATATTTTTGCTTTCATGGATGTCAAAACGTAAAAATCGGCGTGCACACTTTCTAATTGACTAACATCTAGTCTCTGAAATGAAAATATTGTAAAAAAAAAACACAGCCAATCAGGAAACAGTAATCTGTTAGGGGCGTGGCCGAAATCACTTGCACGGAATCACTTGCAATATATTTATATCTTATTATCGAAGGATCATTAGTTTTCGGACGGCCGTTTATCGCGATATAACGAGGGGTGTGGCGCCAAACTACGAATGTTTCTTAAGCGTCCGAAAAACCACAAGACGGGGATACTTTATAAGTGGTTCACAAACACACACACACACACACACACACACACACACACACACATTTACATATGTATAAATCGCAAACAGCAATAAAGAACGAAGCGTGGTTTATTTCACGAGATAACATTGTTGTACAATATGACGTCATTTCTGGAGATTCGAAGATGCGGTCACAACTTGAGGAAAAGTGCCTCGTGAGTTGTTCCCCATATATGTAGCTGGGGTACGCAGAAAAAACGCAGTGGCCGAACTATCGCATCTAAAAGTGGGAGAGATATGACAATCGGTATCAGGAGGTAATATCCGGATTGTGAGAATATGCGGGAAAGACAAAACTTAACCCACCTGTTCATAAAATGTACATTTCCGAGGTCGGATTCTATCTTGTGACTCATACAAGGTCACTATTTTTAAGCTTGCACATTTTATCAACATCCTTATAGAGTAAGTACATATGGTTGATATATCATATAAGAGATGTTTACCGACTCGTGGTCGTTGTTTATCGTTATATAAAACACAGAGAATTTACTCTCCCTGCACCGTTTTATTGTACGATAAACAACCCCCACTCGTCGTTTATTTCTTGAATAAGACACACGAGTCTACTATGCCGCATCAGGACAATGGAAGAAAGGTTTGTAGGACAGAAGAGTTACATACCGCTTTGAAGGGACATTTACACGGTACACCAGCAGTCACAAATTCCCGGGGACACACGACACCGCTGAGGATGCTGCACAGGTCGTCGTAGACGCAGCTTCCTATATTCGCTACACATGGAAGCGGTACATCCTGGCTGCCAACTCTCTTGGACAGCTGAACCTGAGCCTGAAGAAAAACAGGAATATTCATTTTACCAGTGTGAATCGGCCCCGGATACCTATGGGGGCATTAGGAGGTATATGTGGCAATCACTGATTCCAGCTGCAGGCGATGGGACTGTTTCTTCGTACCCTGACATCAATGTGTACCGCTTGTTTACCCAACGTATCAATAAGGTCTTTAATTTTAAAATGTATGATCACATAATTCTATTTCAAGACTCTCATAATCACAAGGATTAGTTTCATGGTAGGTCTGTGATTTTAAATTGAATTGATTTTGCCCTTATTTTTAGCTTTTATTCTGCCTGTACGACGTATGTGATCATAGAGAAGATGGATGAACTTTGCACTTGTGAATGATACATAAGTCTTGTCCCCCACAGCTTCCGGGGCAAGGGAGTTATTTGACAATTAAGTCCCTTGCCTCTGGAAGATGTGTCCCCAAGGAATTGACTCAACACACGCGGAGCGGAGGGGAAGTCTAGTAATCAAAGTTTTACGCCGGAGTCCGTGTTCGCTTCCCTACTTGCTATGCAGCAAAAGCCTCAATTCCTATACTCGGACACAAACCTCTCTGTGTCAAGATCTGTGGACACCTCCTGACACGGTCTCTTCAGAACACTGAGCAATGATGGCCACCCAATCTACTCTAAGGATGCGTTGGGCTTCGAGCAAATAAAAAATCACCAATATAAAATATTCGGCTTCATTTCTTCACAGCTCGATCCGGAAATGCCTATTTTTAGCAAAAGACAACCACAGAAAAGTATTATAGCTTCGATAGAAGACCCTTCTGCGTGAAGATGCCAAGGCGCTCCCACACAGCGTGATGTCTAAACTATCCACAATATTATAGAAGTGCGGCTTTATGTTTTTGCAGTCGGAACTCCCTGATCATATTTGTTTTTTAGATACAGGAATCATATATGCTTTTGTGAATGCTTTGCCCACACGTACCGAGAATTTAGAACCATAGACGCTGATTGGGTGACGCGGCTTCGAGAGGAGGCGTCCTGAGATTTCACACGGGGAGATATTGTAACGGAGGAAAATATCTGAGTTTAAAGAGATTTAAAAGCGGCTTAACTCGTTTTCACTCCACACCTACCTTCAGATTGTTTGGTACGTCTATCTTGAGTTCAGCCTGGAAGGACACATTGAACTCCCCCGGGAAGACTAGCGGGTCCGGGGAGAAGACTAAATTTGTGACTATTAAGTGATTGGTGTAAACTATGCAAAATGCGTCTCCAGAAGTGAGTAGTGTCCATGTCTTGCCTTGTGGAATAAAAGAAGTCACACAAACATATTATGTCATGTCATATTTCAGAAACCGTGTTATTGTCGCCATATCCTTCAGAAATTACGTCGGTAGACACCGGAGTCCTATAGTGAAAGCATACGCAGTACCGATCATAGATGAAGATTGTGAAAAACAAACGATGATCGATCAGGGAGGTCAGTGTGTCTCCATGTATTTGTTATGTACAACCTGTTTATTCAACGCGTCCTCTAGTTACTCTATTTGCTTGTATTATCATACCTATTAATATCATCATCATCATCATCATCATAATCATCAGTAGTAGTAGTAGTAGTAGTTGTTGTTGTTGTACAACATTTCGTTGAAATGTCGTTTCTTAATTGCATACTTTTTACATACCTAACAGGGTACCACACAATACCGGGCCCTTGTATAGTTGATGTCGACATTGTATTGTAACACCTGTGTAATTAAATGCATCATTTAATTTGCTGCAAGCCATATGACGCCACCATGTGAAACACACTCTATGCATTCATAAAGTAATGAGCACGAAATATATATATATGTTTATTACAATCATTTCAATGTGAACTGCGTTGTTCACCTCACCAAGCCACCGTATTTCTAGTGAGTGAGTGAGTTTGTTTTTACGCCACTTTGAGCAGTTTTCCAACCTAATTTGGGCTTCACCCATTGACTCTTGTACCTATTTAGGGTATGGAACCTGGGTGTTCGGATTACATGGATTAATATTCATCTATGCCATAACCACATATATGGCACGCGTATGGCACGCGTACAACGCGTAATTTTATAATCTCGGGTGGAACTTGTAAAAATTCAAACAATAGATCAATTTGTAATGGTAACTTCATAAATTAACTTGGCCAAAGATTGCCACCCACATATATGCAGCCATAGTGACCATCCGATTAACAGTTTACACGAATCTCTCGAAGAATCCCTAAAGGGCATCCAACTCAGATTGATGCACATACACATTGATGGAAATGACTTTGTCTATCTAGCAAGCAACTGTACTTTAATCAGTATGTATGCAGTGACTTTGTGTAAACAGTTTCATATCAAGGCGTGTCGGGTGGAAACACCGAATGTCATAGATGATTCCTATTTTGGGGAAACCCTTTAACTCGGGTGGTGCAGAAAATCCAAAGTCCAGAGAAAGGGGACTCTGGACGACGAGCACGCCACAGTCAGATCCTGACACAGCTAAGGGACGAAACTAAGACGACTGGAACAGCCGTTGCGAAGACGTACCTTATATTGATCATGGGAATCAAAGGAATCCGATTGGGGTCTTGCGTTGAACAGAAGTCTCTTGTGATCAAATACCATTCCTTTAACAGCGAGGATGAATGTTAAAGTGAGACAGCTCTGAACTGCTATGTCAGTTATCGACCTCATCCCGACCTGTTTCTACCGAAGTCCAAGCGTAACAGGGGCGTTTATTATTAATTCTAGAGTGTCAATTACTTGATATAATGAAACAAACTTCAACATCCCCTGGAATTGCTGTTCTTTATTGCGACTGTAATAAACTGGAATGAATTTTTATTCACATGCCAGCAGTTACATTTTCATATCAATGACATGCTTAGTAATCAAACTGAACGACCTTTATTGGAGGAACAGTTGTTCATATACGGAATTTAATTTTTTTAAATGATATATACGTGAAAACCCATCGTAGCTTAAAAACTGCATTTCAATGCCGTATATACATCAACCACATCGTCATTTATGAAATCCTTTAGGTCAAACCCCCGTCAAACTATTACCCTAAATCCTGACAGCTTCTTCTAACAATTACTTTTCCGTTAACATCGTTATTAAAATTGTCTTTATCAATTTTCTCAAAAATTCTAATGTGGACTAAGAATATACCCTTCATGTGGTTCCAGTGTCGTTGGCTCGCTGGTCGAAGGAGCAGTAATCATCTTTTCAAAGGCAAGGGAGTTAGTTAACTGACTATAAAACTCCAGTTTCAACCCTTGCCGAATTAGGCTAGAATCCCGGAGTTCTATGTTGGCTGGACCATGCTGGACTAACGAGTCTATGCATAGTCCAATCATAATCGCAACATGGATTTCAATGTGCAGATTTCGGTCGACTGCAGGATTTGCAAAGCATCTGTACCGTCCTTTCATCAAGGTGCTCAAGTGATTTGATGAAGCTCGAGAGGTAAGACACGGGGTAAGATAGCTACGCGCAATAAATCGCAATGAGCAACGAAGAACGAAGCGTGGTTTATTTCACGATAAAACATTGTCCTATCATTTCTGGAGATTCGGATATGGCTGGCAAGTTGAAGACGTTATTGGACGACTTTGTTTAAGTGAGGCAAGTGACTAGTAATTAAAGTGTTCCCCATAGAAGTAGCTGGACGACGCTGATAAACACATTCATAAAAAGGACTTGTTCGAATTTTCCGAGGTCGGATTCTATTCAGGGAGTCATCATTAAACAGATGAACAGCAATAGACTTGTAGACATCGACTGTTGTTATTACTCTGCCAGCACTATACTCGCCTGTGGGGGGTCGTGAACATGCAGCGATTGTGGATTTCCGCCAATATTAAGCTGACACGTTTAAACCACTATATATATGTACTGTTTAAAGCTCATTCACTATTTTGCTGCAAATACTGAGGTGTGCGATATAATTATAATATATAAAGTATGTACACTCACGAAGGCTATCCGGAGATACAAACGACAGTGATAGTCACAGCGTATGTTTGCTATATCACAAATGCAGGTCAAAGTCTAGCAATGAATCTGTTCTCAGTGCAGCAAAATATCTGAAATGAACACTTTGACATGGCCTTTAAGTTTAATTTCCGGTTTCCGCACTGTGACATTTTGTGACAGAGTAGGCTACTCAGCAAATCGTGTCGTCCGCGATGGACAGACTCCTTTCATGCACGCCGTCAACTACACAGATGTAGAGTGGTGTAGCTAGCCTAGTCTGTCTTACAAACCGTCATACAAATCTATCAAAAACAGCCCATGCAAGTCTATAATGTTTGGCAAGTCTAGATTACTGCTGTATCTGAAAATGAAGAGATTCTCTGGGCTCCATTTTTATTATATTTTTATTAACATAATTGAACAACAATAGCTAGCCCAGTGGTCAGGCAGTCAGTTTTAACCTGTCTGCATCAGGATCTGACAAGCCCTCCACAAGTCACGTCTGGTAGACTATCTAATCACCCAATCAGAGAAGAAATAATTAAAAATAAATTATTAAAAATGTAATACTCTGAACGAGCGTGTGAAGCAATCGGGACAGCATATTTGATTTTGTATCTTGAAAACAAACACTAACGAGAAGTTCTGAATGGGGGAATATCACTGGTCACCTGATATTGTGGCTATTTGACACCTTGTTTCAGGTGCGTCATTCAGTCAACAACATGACACTTTCTTTTAACCGTGCATGGTTTCATTTGTCTTCCATCAAAGTAAGACTGGCTCAAAATACATGTACCACCAATCTTTCATTTTGTTGACTGAACGTGACGCCCCGTGATCAAGACAGTGGTATATGGAATCTGTCAAGCTGAAGGCCGGCTTCCATTCCCGACAAAATAAGGAGGGGGAGGGAGGTAGAGAGAAGGGGGAGAAAGCGAGGGGAGGGAGAGGTTTGGAGGGAGGGGATATTGAGGTATATGTGAGAGACAGACACACAGACGGACATACACATCCGCTTCATGTTGATTGGAAGTACACAGTGTGTTTGTGTGTGTGTGTGTGAGAGAGAGAGTGCGTGTGTGTGTGTGTGTGTGTGTGTGTGTGTGTTTGTGTGTGTGTGTGTGTGTGTGTGTGTGTGTGAGAGAGAGAGTGCGTGTGTGTGTGTGTGTGTGTGTGTGTGTGAAGGTTCTTAATGTGACAGAAAAGGTGTTGGGGCATGTAAAAGATGCAAGTAAAACAACGTTGTGTATGTTACACAGAGACATCGGGGGATCGAACTGCCCCCAGTGGTTTATTCACTGTGTGTCACTGTCAGTACCGTACCACCCACTCAATGTTAGTATGTGCCAGCACTCCTTCATTGTAACGTTTCAGTTGGGGACAAAATGAAACCGAAAATAGGTAATGTGACTTTAGCGTTCGTCAGATTCTGTGTCCAAGAAGGAACAGGTGGCGGAAGAAATAGTTATTGTTTTCGTATAACAATGAATTCCTCAGAAAAATAAGTTCATAAATCCCCAGTCTATTTCGGCTGATTAATGCTGTACTTACTACCACGATATAGATTCCTAAATTGTCTAGGATTTGTTCCGTATATGATTCAACTTTCGTTGTGTTGGCAAAGCGCTCAGTTCATTGGTTGAAATAGCGAAAGTAATGTACTGACAGTTTCGTTTCAGCAGTCTATGATTACAAATGTTGTTGTGTGTGCATATTTATCTCAGCTAACATGCATAGTCCATCTGTCCCGCCGTCACGTGTACATTGTACGTGTTTTCGGTCCATTATCATGAACACAGGTCAATGTGTATGAGTGAATGCAGGTGTGTTGATTTACACCGCAGTCAGTTGTAATAACTTGGTAAGGCACAAATCCAGTGTCGCAAATTATCAACGAGACTGATAAATGTACACAGTGACAGAAACTATACAATAACGGTGTTGTTTATCTCGCCTTTAAGTGGAGATTTCTCACATGTTGAGACAGGCCCACAGTTGTGAACAATGTCGATCACGCATGCTGTGGCCTGGTCTTTTGTCTGGATTCAGCGTCTGGACCTTGCACTATACTAAACATGTAAATGTAGCAACTGCGTGTGTCCCATGTCCAGAGGACCCGTGAAGATCCGGGGAAGAATAGGTCTTCAGCAACTCATGCTTGCCGTAAAAGGCGACTATGCTTGCCGGAAGAGGCGACTAACGGGAATGAGTGGTCAGGCTCGCTGACTTGGTTGATGCATGTCACCGATCCCAATTGCCTGGATCGATGCTCATGATATTAATCACTGGATTGTCTGGTCCAGACTCGATTATTTACAGACCGCCATCATATAGAGAACATTGCTGAGTGCGGCGTTAAACAACAAACCAACCCATGCCCATGGAACAGGGATATAGCATTGATATATATATACATGAAACCTGTAAACCAATCAGAAACAATTCGTGTCTCCTGTCCTGCCGTCTGTATCGTTAACTCCGTGCATGTGTTTGGAGGGAGAAGTCACTTGAAGGTAAATTAATACTTCCGGGTGATTTGTGCATGAGTTGTCAGTTAAGGCCTTAACTGTTCGTTATGTAGACTACATACCTTCTGATTGAGGCGCGAGAGAGTCTCATCGATGATGCAATACGGGTGACAAGTGTCAAGTATCCCGGTGTCGTATATCTTATCGCGATCTCACTCTCGGGATGTAGGGCACATAACAATTGAAATGGATATGCAACAGCTCAATTAACGCATCATAAACATTGCTCTTCAATTTCATAATAATAGGCTAATAGAAAGTGCATATGTTATTATTTCATAGCGATGACTTGAATTGCAATTGGAATTAATTACCGCATAATCATGCAAGAATCAGTTGGACTTTGACTTAGATACCGCCTTGTATCTTTATACAGGTTGAACTGCGGCCAAGGACGGAGAAACCGAGCGAGTCGTACGATACACTGGTACAGATTGAACCTGATAACATTCACCGTGTTTCCTCTAATAAGCGCTTCGGCATTTATTCTTTTAAGCAATCTTCCAACCCTGAGGTTAAAACGGGCCCGATGTAGCAAGGCTCAAATCAATCCCGTACCATGTCAATGTCAGTGCATCATTCACCCTTGGCTCAGGCCCGCCGCGCCCCTCCTCTACAAGACTCAAAACAATCACTCAAGGCTCGGATGACACCCATTTTGGCTCATATCAATCCTCTACATATTTACTTATTTTATTTCTTTATGTGTGTGTGTGTGTGTGTGTGTGTGCGTGTGTGTGTGCGTGCGTGCGTGCGTGCGGGACATCAATCGCCGCCCGTTTCAATTCTGAAAGGATGTTTATTCTTATCCCAAAAGGTGTCGGATCTCTCACATACTAAGGGTTGGTGCCACCTTTGGTTCTCTCTAATCATAATACTCATATCAGGGCTATGTCAATCTTCGACGCATGAAAGGAATAAGATGCGTCTGTATAAGTGTGTATACCCATATCAAATAAATATAGATCATATTTCTCCTGGATGTAATATAATGAATATTACAACTGAACACAGAATATTCTTCACATAATATATACATGTCAAATCAACACATCTATGTCGTTTACCCTTGACTTGCTACCGTATGTGTATATAGTGTCGTCCTGCTGCGTTACCGTCACATATTATATATTTCATCTTTCAAAAGTATTCATGTCTCAAATAATACAGTCCAAATACATATAGTTTCCAGTGAAGTTTTAATTTTGACCCGTGAAGATCCGGGGTAGAATAGGTCTTCTGCAATCCGTGCTTGCCATAGAAGGCCACTTTGTTTGTCTTAAGAGGCGACTAACGGGATCGGGTGGTTAGGCTCGCTGACTTGGTTGATGCATGTCATCGTATCCCAATTGCGTGGATCGATGCTCATGATGTCAATCACTGTATTGTCTGGCCCAGACTCGATTATTTACAGTCCGCCGTTATGTAGCTGGAATATTTGCTAAATGTGGCGTTAAACAAACAAACAAACACAATCTAGTGAAGTTATTTATCTTTATTTTCCCGAAGGATATTTTGGTTACATTAGTGATAAACACACATGCATACAAATGAATAAGAGCATCACAAGCGTAACTAAAACGAAAAAATGTCACCACTTAAAAAAATGCTCAACAATTATTTATAACAAAATTTGTTACAAAAGCTGGTGCTAGCTGGTATAAATGAATTCCGGGGTCTTCGAGGATGTAGTGCTTATTAAAGGAGCTACGGTATAGCTAGATAGTGAATCAGTGATACCGAATGATGTGCGTAAACACCCCAACATATCCCATCACATAATAAGATTAATGTGTAATGATACCTGAATAATTTAACTTAAAATTATTTTAGTCTTATATAAAAATCTGCAAACTTCCGTTGGATACCATGCAAATATATGGATGGCTAAATAGATCGATAGCACACTAGAAATTAAGATGAAAATGGAAGGAAACATATAAATGTATATGTATAATGTATGCGTATATGTGGTAGGTAATGTGGGGTTAGACTAACATCTAGTCTCTGAAATGAAAACAGTTGTTAAATTATCTTAATAATAATATAATTAAAAAGAGCCCATGCAAAGACTTTCTTCATATCCTGATACTGCAGTAATCTAAACTTGCAGAACATTATAGACTTGCATGGGCTGTATTGGATATATTTGTATCAGGATCTGTATGACAGACTAATGTTGGATGTGCGTGTTGCTTGAGTCACACACGTCCCCCAAACCGTCCCAGCCACCCCCTCATACACTGAGGTTTTCATATTCCATATCCAAGTTACTATTTCAGAAAATATACAAGAAACCTTTTCATGCGTTGCATCAACACGGCGGCAAACTCTTTGTTCGTCAGATTAAATTTACAATGAAATAATTTCCCAAAAAAAACAATGGCATTTTTAAAACAATATAAACAATTCCGTTTCCTGTTTATATCTTGAACCATGTTTGCGATTACGCTCTCGTTAATATATCACTTCTGTGCTAGGCGGTACCGCAGTGATAGTTTGTTTGTATGTTACAAGGAAACGAGACATTCGTCTGATGTTCACGAGGAACCTCATTTTGCTTGTGTGAATTTCGTGATTTTGCAGCAAATCATTTCCTTATGACGCGGATATATTAGGGTTGATATTGTTAGGACTAGCCAGATCACTACTTTCACCCTGCATTTGGCCTATTGCACCAAACGCTTGGTTTACACGCTTTGGAGTCACTAGATTCAGGCTCTTGTAGTGTCGTTGTTGCCTAGCAGCCTTTCATACAACTGTTCTAGAGTACCTGCATTCAGCCCAAACACAAATATAATCAACCAGGACGACGCGTCACCTCTCCACATCGTTACCATTATGGCTCTTGGTGAACAGGAACCAACATGACCCGAAGTATCCATATTTTCCCTAAAACTACTTTTATTGATATTCAATAAGGTTAAGACATTTGACAAATAATATAAATGGATAACATAGTTATATCATGTTATTTTAAAAAATTATTGATGAATATTATAAATTAATAGAAAGATAATTAATACTATGATCAAGTCTGCCTATTTTTGACAACACAGAGTCATTGAAACAGTTGTATGTCAAGTAGCCTGAATACGAAAGTAATCATCACGTGCAGAGTCACATGATACATTGTGTAGCCGGCCGGGCTGTGAGTTACGCTGTTCGAAGTCGTTCCAGTGACAACTGTATTTAGCAATCAGACATGAAGTATTGTTCAAGTGTGGTCGCCTTTGCCTTTTTGGCTTTTGGCGTTGCTTTCGCAGCGGTGATGCAGTATGACCCTCTGAGGATAACTTCCAGGTTGCAATCTGAAATGGAGGATCTCATGCAACTGGTTATGAAGCCTCACACTCTCAGCAGAAATGTACCCCTACAGGTGTACAAGGAGATGGTAAGTCAAGTATGAAGTTCAATTTGAAAAATATCTGTCATGGCAACATGACACCTTACGAAAGGTCCAGAATTCCTATAACATTTATTACTCTTATAGTTCAGAGTTTAGATCTACCATAATTATTTATGACCCACTTTACTGCTGATGTTTCATCGCAGAGACAATGATGGGGAGGATTCCATGCATAAACTCTACCTAGAGTTAATTGAATTCCCAGTGTTTATTCGAGGAAATATGGTAACCTAATAACTAACAGACTACCTGAAATCACCAAATCTGAAATGTAGTGTGCCGAACTCCTTACAGTCTCGAGGCACCCGTGAAGATCCGGGGTAGAATAGGTCTTCAGCAACCCATGCTTGCGTTAAAAGGCGACTATGCTTGTCGTAAGAGGCGACTAATGGGATCGGGTGGTCAGACTCGCTGACTTGGTTGATGCATGTCATCGATCCCAATTGTGTGAATCGATGCTCATGATGTCAATCACTGGATTGTCTGGCTTAGACTCGATTATTTACAGTCCACCGTATGTAGCTGGAATATTACAGACCCCCTTTATATAGCTGGAATATTGCTGAGTGCGGCATTAATCAACAAACAGTCTTCGAGCATGGGAGGCCAAGTGGTACAGAATTGTGTGGCACAATCCTGTGATCTAGCTTGAGATTAAAATTCAGAATTGTCCTGAATATGATTCTTGGTTGTCAGCATCATACAAATGCTTGTGGGGTTCTCCAAAGTTCTAAATGATTTGCTTCACTTGGTATTGCTATCATGCAACTGAAATACTGATCAAAGCATTTTTAAGGCACCCGACTCATAATTAGCTGTCTTTCCCCCTCATTGTTACTATTTTTTCCTTTTTAAGTATTATTTAACTAATATACCAATTAACATGGTTGTTTTTTTGCAGCAATGTTCAATTCTGTTATTAAAAGCAATGCCCTAATGCAGAGGGAAACAATTAAATCGATGGTGATTGTTGTTTGACTGATTTGATTGTATTTTTGCTTGATTTTTTACTATCTTAAGATCACAATGTACTATAGTTGTTAACTGTGTTCAGGGCCTGAACCCAAGCACTCGTCTGACAGATTACAGATGGGTAAACTGTGGCAACAAGTCTGTGGAGAACCTGCTCATCAATGACATCAAGTTCTCCCCCGACCCCATCTCCCTGCCAGGAACTCTCACCGTCTCCTTCAGCATTACCGTCAACGTGACAGTAGCAAGTCAGCTTAAGGTGGGTTGTTTGGGCACATTTTCATTCATTTGTTATCCTATCCCAGTCTCATCAAGTTTATAATCTTGGACTTATTGTCAAGTTAAGAATAAGATGATAAGAGAAACACTTGCAGTACAAGGGATACCTGTCGGACGTATTTGTTTGATTGGTATAAATTATATAATACAGGGGCATGCGACTCTGTGTCAAGTTGGAAAATAGGGAGATGAAGCTCAAAATAAGCAGAAAGAATTACCCTGCATGCATTTGTATGGTTTAATATGATTAAATCATGACATTGAATGTCAAAGCAATTCATAAACATCGAAAATCAGACCATCAACAATGAAAAATTACTCGAAAATAGAAGTTCCATAATGGTGGCAGCAGCTTCATAAGTTTGTACAATGCTTTTAGATTTATAAGATATTAAGGACATTTTAAACAAACTCCTTTTTTTAAAGATGAAAGACTGAAATAGATAGTTGAATGATTACCAGTGTAAACACTTAATGCTGTATGCCTCCTAACTATTCTCACTGATAAGTCACCTGGGCCCACTTGCACAAAGCGATGTTAGCATTTAGATGATTGCATCTCCCATACTTTAACATAGGCTTACGATAATCTTAGTGCTAAGATGGCTTTGTGCATGTGGGTCCAGGACTCTATACAAAGCCTTTCCCTTTCACTTGCATATTAAGGCCTGTGATCTAATCATGCTATAAAGTATTGAGCATTGAATTAAATACAGTAGATGAATGTCTGTTTTATTTTTGTTGCTTTTCAGGGAGTTGTCCTGCTGGAGAAGCAGGTTGCCGGGAGCTGGATTCAGCTGCCGTGTATTGGCAACATTGGCTCCTGCACTTACAATGACATTTGCCCACTGCTCAATCAGATTGGAGTTTGTCCTGACTCGTTTAAGGCAGCCAATGTACCATGCAAATGTCCCTTCAATGCAGTGAGTATATTAAGCTGGATAAATAAGGCTAAAAAAGATAATAATCTTGGTTCTCAGGCACCACCCACATCATCATAAAACCTGCCGCATGTTTTGTTTTTATTTCCATTTTCCAAAAAAATCTAAAAATCCTAATACTTAAACACAATGCACCAAAAAATGGAAAATGGAAACAAAAGCGATATGTGCAATGATCTTATTTTGCCTGGTATGTTTTCTACATTTTTCTGCTGGCACACTTAAATAGTAAACAGCATCGTCCTAACTTGGTGTGCATGAAACATTTCATATGTAAGCTCTTAGAAAATACTACTTATTAATTTCTGAAAAATATGTACATAGGAGAAAATCTCTGTCAGAAACAGAACATTTTGCTCAATTCTTGCACATTTGTCTCCCAATTTGACTGTTTAATATTTTTCTTATGACATTTTTTCATGTCATTTGATAACTAGTACAATGATCAATAACTGTACTTAATTTTGTTTTATTATTTTCATAAATAACACTTGTAGAGACATTTTTGTGCAATATGCAGAAATCCACGTTCCACCGACAGACAGTCACGCAGACCCCCTCTCAGGTGGTCACTTGTACGCGAGACGGGAGACCGTCTCGTGTAGAGGTTACGTCCCCTACTGCAAATGGCTTACCATCTTTGTGTCATCTGTCACATAAAATTCATGCATTGAATTTAAAGGCCTCTGGAGACATGTCATTAAGCTACCTCACTGTCAAGTAGAAAGGTATTGTTACAAGAGTAGGGGTGCAGTCAGAAATCCACTGTCCAATCGTTTGTATTTTTCATTGATAATTTCTGAAAGTTAGACATGGCTGCTTGTTTGAGACTAGTGATAAGATGCTAGAAGTTATGCTACACCATTAGTCTGACACAGTGTACCTGTACCCAAACAAATACATCAGTCTTACCATTGTCAGTTTATCATTAAAAGAAAAAAAGAAAAACATTTTTTTTAAATATTCTGACACTTCAATTGCATGGTGGATACGGGCAAACCTTCTGTTTTCATTTATCTTCTAATAGGCCATGGGATATAAGACTGACTCTTTATATTTCACTAATAAATGTTTTTATTTTCAGGGTACATACACACTTCCTGGTGCCAGCTTTGAGATTGATGCCAGCTTCTTGCCATCGGGCGACTACCACATCCGCGCCAACCTAACCCATGGCGCCCTTGATGGTGGCTGCTATGACATCTATGCCTCTTTTGCATAGTAAGTATTCATATTCATGAACTATTTTGAAGAAATTGAAAGTTTGAATTATTTAGTTTTCTTTTTGTACCTCATTTCAACATGACATTAGTTCCTAATCGATGCAGTTTTCAGTATTTTACAGAAATGCTTTCAGGACATACTCAGTACCCAATTATTCATATTTTGGATATGTATGCTTCAATGGATGTAACTGGCTTCATTTATATCACAAGTTCTTTAAAGACATGATACCCCCAAGGGGGAGAGTTCATTGGTAACTTAGTAGATTGTGTTTCACCATACCCCAGTTGCATGGATGGTTGTTCATAAAATCAATCCCTGGTTTTGGTCAAGGCTTACTTATTTACAGGCTGTTGTCATATAGCTGGAATATTGCTGTGTTGCAATGTCTACCAGAACATGAAGTTGGACTTAAGATGGCCACAATTCTAACATTGCTGTATAGCCTGGTCCTACAAATAGCTCCTTTTCAGAGTAAAGGCTTCACCATACCACCAACACATACATGCATGGCCTACCATGAGTTTGCTTGTCATCATGGCCAGAGAGCACTATTTGTTGACACTGATTCAGTGTGTATGACAGTCTGGATGTGAACAGGTGTACACCAGATGCTGCAAATTACCAGCCTCATCAGCAGCCTACCAATGAAAACTGACAGACTGCAACAGAAACAGTCGGATGTCTACAATACACATGGCATCGGCAACAGAAAACAATGAGAACGTAAACAAAAACTTAGAAACAGTGTCATATATCAGAGAGCATGCTGCTAAAAAGATGCTGTTGTTTAACGCAGCAAAATTCCAGCTGTGTGACAGGGTATGTTGACACGACATCAACCAACTCACTGAGCCCAAACTCATTAAAATCAGATATTAGTTTTCGCTACCACTAAACAAAGATCTGAGGACATCCCATTACGGGTCCCATCAGAACGACATTTCACGGACTGTGACCGACCAATGAAATTACTGACAAGAAATCGATAGAGCCAATCAGAAGGCAGCTTTCTCGAGCTTTACGACACTAGTTTCAAACTGGCGACGACGCTTCGAAACATATTTGATTAAAAAATTTAAAATTGATAAAAAGAAAGGCTTATAGATGGCCTAGATTGTATGGATATAATCATAAAACCTGTAACTGTCCTTCGGAATACCCTCTGTTAAATATTTCGAGGTTGCATGATTAGAAAACACATTCCGACTTTCACTTTCATGATCTGGTAAGCGACGCTCTGATTGGTTGGATGAAAGGTCGATCTGACGTGACCCGTAATGGGATGTCCTCAGATCTTTGTTTAGCGATAGCAAGAACTACGTTGGGATTTTAATGAGATTGCACTGAGCCTTACCACTTGATCCTTTAAGTCGCCTCTTACGACCGCAAAGGACCTATTCTAACCCAGATTCCTCACAGATTTCCAATTTACAATCTTAGGTTATATACACACTCATATACACAAACATACATCTCAGTTTCAATATGCCTTTGTGCTATTTTCATACATTAGGCTGACATGCAATGATATCATTGAAATAATGTCAATCAACATAAAACCAGATTCAGTCATTGAATATCGGTATGCAAAAACTATGAGCAGAATGGATGGCATTATACCTATTTATGTCATAAGAACATGGAAATGTTCAGCCTACATAGAAATTGGATGTCACAATGGATGCTTGGTATGGATAGTACTTGGTTGATTGGCCACCTCAGGAGATCAATAGTCTGACAATGTGGCTAAATGGAGAAATCTCAAAAAGAGTGCATTATTTTAACCAGCAGCTGTTGAGTCATGATACATAAGGGGTTCATTGTTTGTACATTTCACAGGAATTTACTGTGGTGTTAACATGTGAACTTTGTCAATCAGGCCCTGGACAACGAACCTGATCTTATCTGCTTGTCCAGATTTGAACATTATCACTCAAATATTGATTCCAAGTCAATCTTGTAACAAGGTGCAGAATTTTGGACCAAGTCATTTTAGCATAAAATTATCAATAATATCAGTGACAATCACAATAAATGCATGGCTGGCATTTGCCAATCAACCAATCAGGTTTTAGTATAACCTGCCATAACTGCAACAAATTACTTTTTTTTAAATTTTATGCTCATTAAAATGATTGATTTATCCATATTCAACTAAAACACAAATTTCTTCTTGTCTGGTACGGCATGCAACACATCTCATTAATGTGTTTTGTTCTTTTTTTTCAGAATGATGTTGAACAGGATACAACATTACCAGGAACAAGTTGAAGACAATGCAACAGAATCACGAAATTGTCCATGTTCTTTCATCACATTCCATATGTCTGTTTTATGTGCAGAATAGTATGTTTTTAAGACTCATATTTATTTTCAAAAAATTAAAAGTGCAACAAATTCATTTATGAAATGTTTTGTTTTTTGTAATGTGTGTTTTAAAACATTTTTTGTATAATGGTAGATCTACCACAGTGAATAAGTCAAACATGTCAAAGGGTGAATTTGAGTAAGTGTCTTTTTTGTGTTGTTTGTAATTTATCTAAGATAACAAATATTGAATTCAACAATGCATAAAATTTCAAGATGAGGTCTTTTGAGATTGCTACTATTTTTTATATGCAGTTTACATACGAAATAAATTATGAAAAAATATATCAATGTTTCACCTGTAAATGAATGCATGCCATTGTGATATGCTATCATAATTATCAAGGGAGAGAACTCTTGACACTGCAATGTATACAAATGGGTTTTATGCAATTTATGAAATTTTTTTTAATCCGAGTTCCCAGGCATAGATAGGTGGTTTGTTTGTGTCATTTACAAGTGTGGCCTGTAATTGTAAATGATTTTTCTTAATAATGCTAGAATATGAAAGCCGTCAAAACTTCAGCATCATTTGACAAACTTACCAAGGGCTAAGGTATATGAGACTATTGATCATCTGAAGTGTTTCTCTTATCCTGGTATTTGTTTGTATGTGGAGTATGCATGAAGTGCAATTAGCAGTGTATATTTCTGATGATGATTGGTTATGATGAAATGTCGTTGTTGCATGGATACTTGTGGAATGAACACAGAGACCTACCCGAAGGATACAGTGAATCTGAAGTGTTTATAATCATTAATTCATGGGCCCAACACATAACACTGTTTCCTTTGGAGATGTATCAGATGTATGAGCTAGAGGGTTTTTTAAATCAACAACATTTTGTTTTGTTTTATATTGTTTTATTGATCCACTGACAAAGTAGGTTTTTTTTCATAATAGCCTGTCAGTGGTCACTGACCACACCTTGGGCTTATTTCCAATACTGTGACATAATTGTGCTCCTGTCCTCCTCCTTTCGTTGCATTTTGGCCATTGGGTAACAGGGTTTGATTTAAAGAACTTGATTTAACTTGTGCAGTGCATGTTGACATGGACACCAGATAAAACCAGGTTACACTCTGGTCCCATAAATTTAAGTTGAAACATAAGCCAGTCTGTTGCCAGGTTCACACAAGTTAATGACATATTGCTGTAAGGCGTAATAGAAACATGCACATTATCTTAAAGTACCCATAGTGTGGTGACGTCAAGCCTAAGAAAGCATGACAACTTACACTTAACACAGGGATTAGTGATGTATGTATGGCAAATATACTTTAGAAGTATTGAGTGTGATCAAAGATGTTTTGTGGAAACAAGTACGGTTTAGTCAGGGACAAATTTGAAAAAGTTTGACATGCACTTTGCGCATGTAGACATTAGGTATTATTTTTCAATAAAAGGTTGCACTTGTGCATATTTTATATAGCTAAATCAAGCCCTGGGTAGCCTGGAGGTTAAAAACCTGGGTTTCATTCTCCACATGGGTACATTTGGGGCAGCTGATTCTTGGTGTCCACTGCCCTAATGTTCTTTGAATATTGCCAAGGGTGGTGGAAGTTCATGCTCACTCAAATACTCATTGTCAGTTTACATCTATTGTGTGAAATTTGGTCTCAGAATAAAACATTTTATAAAAGAAATCTGTTTTTCTTTGTCTTTCATCAGTTAGCCTCCAAGTTGAGACCACAGTACGATTATCTCCTTGTTCTAAGTACTCCCAACTATCAGAACCAGTTGTTGGATTATTATACAGTGCAGAAATGCAGAGTGGAGGGGCTGTAGGAGAGATGTCATCAGTGTTACTGGGCCTCACCTGTGTTCCATGATTGTAGACTTAACACCAATGCAACACATTGTCCACAGTTTGTCTTTCTTTGAAAACATCAGCTGCGGACTTCAACTGAACATATTTAAAGGCTGACCAATGTCTGCTGTTCTGAAACTAAGTGCCCTGCTTCTGGTATCTGGTGGATCCGGAGAGTATGTAAGTACCCCTCCTCTTTCAAGTGTCAGCATTTGTCAGTTCTGCCATATGTACAGGTTCACACTTAGGTAGTGTGAGCTCCCACATTCAAGATCCTTGATGTGTACATACGTTCCTGTCGCTACCATAGTTTGAGGGTTGTTAATATAGGCTTGTTCCCCCTTATTGACACATTAGAACCGAGTATAAGGAAAGTGACGCAATGGATGCTTTTACAGTATTCATTTCTTTGTCATGGAAAAATATTTCAAACCATAAGATTATATGTTGGCTGAATGTTGCATGTGTTTGTCTAATTGAATTGATTGTGATCTCCAAGGGTCCAGTCCAGTTAATGTTTTGAGCCACTGAATATTTACTCATGTGTTATTTACACACTGGGTATTAGTACTTTTCCTTCAATATGTCATTAGTCCTTTTTAAGTCTTTTAAGACCTTTATAAAATAATTATGTTTAAAATGCTGTGACGTTCTGTCGAAAATGTGCCACATACGCCAGTTGCGTGTATGCGTGACTAGTGATTTCCATCTGTTCCTGGAGACTGAAATCCTACATATGGTGATGTTGGCACAATGTTGGCTGTACACCCTGATGACGCGGGACGTGACTCATTCTTTGGCTTGTCTGGCCTAGACTATTATTTGCTGGCCACTGTGATATGGTTGGAATATATTGACATTCTCGGAAAACAACAATCTTGATTTTCACATAATGGGAATTAATTAGGATACGATGACACGCAATCAACCAAGTCACAGCGACTTTTTCTTGAGAGCCCTTCTAAACAGCGTATTCTTCTTGGGAGCACATCTAAACAGCGTATCCTTCTTGGGAGCACTTCTAAGCAGCATATTCATCTCGGGGGCACTAATAATCAGGTTTGGACCAGACAATCCAGTGATTAACATCACGGATATCGACCAACTCAATTGGGATACGATGACGTGCATCAACCAAGTCAGCAAGCCTGCCCACCGATCCCTTAGTCGCCTATTACAAGCATAGTCGCCTTTTACGGCAAGCATGGGTTGCTGAAGACCTGTACTACCCCGGATCTTCACGTGTGGACATGTGTAAAGAAGACTTCATATCATGACTGTTCACCGAGACATAATCTTTCATGATTCACAGAATTTGAAAACATGGAAATATAACATGACGCACCATGTAACATTTATAATGTGTTCGAACGAAGGATTTATTTTAAATGCAGCAGTAAACGGGTTTTTTTCTACGGTAAATGTTAACTAAATTATTCCCTGTCCTTTCTTTGGCATCCTACGACGTTGTGAAACAATGTTCATATACCACAGCTTCGTCTGATCCTACCGGACATTGTACAACAATGCTCATATACCACTGCTTTGTCTGATCCTATCGGACATTGTACAACGATGCTCATATACAACAGCTTTGTCTGATCTTACCGGACATTGTACAACAATGCTCATATACCACTGCTTTGTCTGATCCTATCGGACATTGTACAACGATGCTTATATATATACCACTGCTTTGACTGATCTTACCGGACATTGTACAACAATGCTCATATACAACAGCTTTGTCTGGTCATATCGGACATTGTACAACAATGCTCATATATATACCACTGCTTTGTCTGGTCATATCGGACATTGTACAACGATGCTCATATATATACCACTGCTTTGTCTGATCCTATCGGACATTGTACAACAATGCTCATTTACCACTGCTTTGTCTGGTCATATCGGACATTGTACAACGATGCCCATATATATACCACTGCTTTGTCTGATCTTACCGGACATTGTACAACAATGCTCATATACCACTAATTTGTCTGATCCTACCGGACATTGTACAACGATGCTCATATACCACTGCTTTGTCTGATCCTACCGGACATTGTACAACAATGCTCATATACCACTGTTTTGTCTGATACTACCGGACATTGTACAACAATGCTCATCTACCACTGCTTTGTCTGATCTTACCGGACATTGTACAACAATGCTCATATACCACAGCTTTGTCTGATCCTACCGGACATTGTACAAAAATGCTCATATACCACTGCTTTGTCTGATCCTACCGGACATTGTACAACAAAGCTCATATACCACTGCTTTGTCTGATCTTACCGGACATTGTACAACAAAGCTCATATACCACTGCTTTGTCTGATCTTACCGGACATTGTACAACAATGCTCATATACCACTGCTTTGTCTGGTCTTACCGGACATTGTACAACAATGCTCATATACCACTTCTTTGTCTGATCTTACCGGACATTGTACAACAATGCTCATATACCACTGATTTGTCTGATCTTACCGGACATTGTACAACAATGCTCATATACCACTGCTTTGTCTGATCTTACCAGACATTGTACAACAATGCTCATATACCACAGCTTTGTCTGATCCTACCGGACATTGTACAACAATGCTCATATACCACTGGTTTGTCTGATCCTACCGGATATTGTACAACAATGCTCATATACCACTGCTTTGTCTGATCTTACCGGAGATTGTACAACAATGCTCATATACCACTGCTTTGTCTGAAACCCTACCGGACATTGTACAACAATGCTCATATACCACTGCTTTGTCTGATCCTACCGGACATTGTACAAAAATGCTCATATACCACTGCTTTGTCTGATCCTACCGGACATTGTACAATAATGCTCATATACCACTGCTTTGTCTGATCCTACCGGACATTGTACAACAAAGCTCATATACCACTGCTTTGTCTGATCTTACCGGACATTGTACAACAATGCTCATATACCACTGCTTTGTCTGGTCTTACCGGACATTGTACAACAATGCTCATATACCACTTCTTTGTCTGATCTTACCGGACATTGTACAACAATGCTCACATACCACTGCTTTGTCTGGTCTTACCGGACATTGTACAACAATGCTCATATACCACTTCTTTGTCTGATCTTACCGGACATTGTACAACAATGCTCACATACCAGTGCTTTGTCTGATCTTACCGGATATTGTACAACAATGCTCATATACCACTGCTTTGTCTGATCCTACCGGACATTGTACAATAATGCTCATATACCACTGCTTTGTCTGATCCTACCGGACATTGTACAACAAAGCTCATATACCACTGCTTTGTCTGATCTTACCGGACATTGTACAACAATGCTCATATACCACTGCTTTGTCTGGTCTTACCGGACATTGTACAACAATGCTCATATACCACTTCTTTGTCTGATCTTACCGGACATTGTACAACAATGCTCACATACCAGTGCTTTGTCTGATCTTACCGGATATTGTACAACAATGCTCATATACCACTGCTTTGTCTGATCCTACCGGACATTGTACAACAATGCTCATCTACCACTGCTTTGTCTGGTCTTACCGGACATTGTACAACAATGCTCACATACCAGTGCTTTGTCTGATCTTACCGGACATTGTACAACAATGCTCATATACCACTGCTTTGACTGATCTTACCAGACATTGTACAACAATGCTCATATATAACAGCTTTGTCTGGTCATATTGGACATTGTACAACGATGCTCATAAACCACTGCTTTGTCTGATCCTACCGGACATTGTACAACAATGCTCATATACCACTGCTTTGACTGATCTTACCAGACATTGTACAACAATGTTCATATACAACAGCTTTGTCTGGTCATATTGGACATTGTACAACGATGCTTATAAACCACTGCTTTGTCTGATCTTACCGGACATTGTACAACAATGCTCATATACCACTGCTTTGTCTGGTCTTACCGGACATTGTACAACAATGCTCACATACCAGTGCTTTGTCTGATCTTACCGGACATTGTACAACAATGCTCATATACCACTGCTTTGACTGATCTTACCGGACATTGTACAACAATGCTCATATACAACAGCTTTGTCTGGTCATATTGGACATTGTACAACAATGCTCATATACCACTGCTTTGTCTGAAACCCTACCGGACATTGTACAACAATGCTCATATACCACAGCTTTGTCTGATCCTACCGGACATTGTACAAAAATGCTCATATACCACTGCTTTGTCTGATCCTACCGGACATTGTACAATAATGCTCATATACCACTGCTTTGTCTGATCCTACCGGACATTGTACAACAAAGCTCATATACCACTGCTTTGTCTGATCTTACCGGACATTGTACAACAATGCTCATATACCACTGCTTTGTCTGGTCTTACCGGACATTGTACAACAATGCTCATATACCACTTCTTTGTCTGATCTTACCGGACATTGTACAACAATGCTCACATACCAGTGCTTTGTCTGATCTTACCGGACATTGTACAACAATGCTCATATACCACTGCTTTGTCTGATCTTACCGGACATTGTACAACAATGCTCATATACCACTGCTTTGTCTGATCCTACCGGACATTGTACAACAATGCTCATCTACCACTGCTTTGTCTGATCTTACCGGACATTGTACAACAATGCTCATATACCACTGCTTTGTCTGGTCTTACCGGACATTGTACAACAATGCTCACATACCAGTGCTTTGTCTGATCTTACCGGACATTCTACAACAATGCTCATCTACCACTGCTTTGACTGATCTTACCAGACATTGTACAACAATGCTCATATACAACAGCTTTGTCTGGTCATATTGGACATTGTACAACGATGCTCATAAACCACTGCTTTGTCTGATCCTACCGGACATTGTACAACAATGCTCATATACCACTGCTTTGTCTGGTCATATCGGACATTGTACAACGATGCTCACATACCAGTGCTTTGTCTGATCCTACCGGACATTGTACAACAATGATCATATACCACTGCTTTGTCTGGTCATATCGGACATTGTACAACGATGTCCATATACCACTGCTTTGTCTGATCCTACCGGACATTGTACAACAATGCTCATATACAACAGCTTTGTCTGACCCTATCGGACATTGTCGGACAATGTTCATATATCACTGTTCGATTCGAGTCACCAACCCTAACATGTGTACTACACTGCCCCAATCCAAAAGAAGAAAGTTTTTCCATCAGCTCCAGTCTAATGCGCCGCAAGTCGCTGTGCAGAGTCGTCTCAATGAGTAGTGCAACTGTTAACTGTGAGTTCGAATCACATATTAGCCTCGATAATGTGTATTGGCATGTCAGATTCCGTGCGCGCAGGTCCTCAAGCATTATTAAAGCTGACGAGTCGTGATTTAATTGTAATATTCTTCAAAGCGGCGTTAATATTATTGAGTTACTATTTCACCTGCTTCTCCACCTCCAATTTATCCTCTCCAGATGAGGCTCAAAACATAGCTACCTTGACCTGGTGTTGTTGCACTTCACCGACATATTATAGATTTGACTTGCCACACACAACAAACGTGCAGACCTCGTGTCCTTCCTCTTCCTGCTTCCACCTCTGCCTCGGATGGAAAGCTCAGTCTCAGTACACCTTTAAAGAAACAATGTTGCCAGAGGTATATAAGTGTAATTAGAGCCCAGTGATAAATTGCAACGTTGAATAATATCGCTGATCGTTTAATGTTAGATATTTTTTTATCCAACTTGCTGTGACTGTCTATTTGCCCGATCAGATTTTGGAGGGTAGCACTTTGTCAGCACCATACCCGTGCTCGTGGGTGTCACCGAAGTGGTAAACGTCTCAGACCTGCATCACTTCGGGCTTTCCTCCCACATTAAGCTGACACGCCGCGATATAACTGGAATACTGTTTAAAGCGGTGTTAAACCCAACTCACTCACTCACTATAATATTTAGTATAACCTGCCAAAACTGCAACAAATAACTTTCTTTCTTTTTTTGTTTATGCTCATTAAAATGATTGATTTATCCATATTCAACTAAAACAAGACAATGCAACAGAATCACGAAATTGTCCATGTTCTTTCATCACATTCCATATGTCTGTTTTTGTGCAGAATAGTATGTTTTTAAGACTCACATTTATTTTCAAAAGATTGAAAGTGCAACAAATTCATTTATGGAATGTTTTGTTTTTTGTAATGTGTATTTTAAAACATTTTTGTATAATGGTATATCTACCACAGTGAATAAGTCAAACATGCCTAAGGGTGAATTTGAGTAAGTGTCTTTTTTGTGTTGTTTGTAATTTATCTGAGATAAAGTGGTAAACGTCTGAGACCTGCATCACTTCGGGCTTCCCTCCAACATTAAGCTGACACGCCGTACTATAACTGGAATAATGTTAAAAGTGGCGTTACACCCAACTCACTCACTCACTCAAATGTGTGAGTACGAAGGATTTATATTGAATGCAACAGTAAGCGTTTTTTGTCTATGGTAAATGTTTACTAATTATTCCCTCTCCTTTCTTTGATATCTTACGACGTTGTGAAACAATGCTCATATACCACTGTTCTGACTGGTCCCTCAGGACATTGCACGTCAGTGCCCATATATCACTGTTCTGTCTGGTCCTGTCGGACAATGGACAACAATGCTTATATACTACTGGTTTCTTTGATCCCACTAGACAATGGACAACAATGCTTATATACTACTGGTTTCTTTGATCCCACTGGACAATGGGCAACAATGCTTATATACTACTGGTTTCTTTGATCCCACTAGACAATGGACAACAATGCTTATATACTACTGGTTTCTTTGATCCCACTCGACAATGGACAACAATGCTTATATACTACTGGTTTCTTTGATCCCACTGGACAATGGACAACAATGCTCATGTACCACTGGTTTCTTTGATCCCACTCGACAATGGACAACAATGCTCATGTACCACTGGTTTCTTTGATCCCACTGGACAATGGACAACAATGCTTATATACTACTGGTTTCTTTGATCCCACTAGACAATGGACAACAATGCTCATGTACCACTGGTTTCTTTGATCCCACTCGACAATGGACAACAATGCTTATATACTACTGGTTTCTTTGATCCCACTGGACAATGGGCAACAATGCTTATATACTACTGGTTTCTTTGATCCCACTAGACAATGGACAACAATGCTCATGTACCACTGGTTTCTTTGATCCCACTCGACAATGGACAACAATGCTCATACACTACTGGTTTCTTTGATCCCACTAGACAATGGACAACAATGCTCATGTACCACTGGTTTCTTTGATCCCACTGGACAATGGACAACAATGCTTATATACTACTGGTTTCTTTGATCCCACTGGACAATGGACAACAATGCTTATATACTACTGGTTTCTTTGATCCCACTGGACAATGGACAACAATGCTCACGTACCACTGGTTTCTTTGATCCCACTGGACAATGGACAACAATGCTCATGTACCACTGGTTTCTTTGATCCCACTGGACAATGGGCAACAATGCTCATATACCACTGGTTTCTTTGATCCAACTGGACAATGGACAACAATGCTCATATACCACTGGTTTCTTCTGGACAATGGGCAACAATGCTCATATACCACTGGTTTCTTTGATCCCACTGGACAATGGGCAACAATGCTTATATACCACTGGTTTCTTTGATCCCACTGGACAATGGGCAACAATGCTCATATACCACTGGTTTCTTTGATCCAACTGGACAATGGGCAACAATGCTCATATACCACTGGTTTATTTGATCCCACTGGACAATGGACAACAATGCTCATGTACCACAGGTTTCTTTGATCCCACTGGACAATGGACAACAATGCTCATGTACCACAGGTTTCTTTGATCCCACTGGACAATGGACAACAATGCTCATGTACCACTGGTTTCTTTGATCCAACTTTACAATGGGCAACAATGCTCATGTACCACTGGTTTCTTTGATCCCACTGGACAATGGACAACAATGCTCATGTACCACTGGTTTCTTTGATCCCACTGGACAATGGGCAACAATGCTCATGTACCACTGGTTTCTTTGATCCCACTGGACAATGGACAACAATGCTCATGTACCACTGGTTTCTTTGATCCCACTGGACAATTGGCAACAATGCTCATGTACCACTGGTTTCTTTGATCCCACTGGACAATGGGCAACAATGCTCATGTACCACTGGTTTCTTTGATCCCACTGGACCGTGGGCAAAAATGCTCATGTACCACTGGTTTCTTTGATCCCACTGGACAATGGGCAACAATGCTCATATACCACTGGTTTCTTCTGGACAATGGGCAACAATGCTCATATACCACTGGTTTCTTTGATCCAACTTTACAATGGGCAACAATGCTCATATACCACTGGTTTCTTTGATCCCACTGGACAATGGACAACAATGCTCATGTACCACAGGTTTCTTTGATCCCACTGGACAATGGACAACAATGCTCATGTACCACTGGTTTCTTTGATCCAACTGGACCGTGGGCAAAAATGCTCATATACCACTGGTTTCTTTGATCCCACTGGACAATGGACAACAATGCTCATGTACCACTGGTTTCTTCTGGACAATGGGCAACAATGCTCATATACCACTGGTTTCTTCGATCCAACTTTACAATGGGCAACAATGCTCATATACCACAGGTTTCTTTGATCCCACTGGACAATGGGCAACAATGCTCATATACCATATACTGGTTTGTCTGACCCTAACGTACAGTATACAGTATACAACAATACTCATATATCACTGGTATATATGTCTGATCCTACAGGACAGTATACAACAATACTCATATATCACTGCTTTGTCAGTTACAGACTCGGTTACACGAGGCTGTGATGGAGGTGTAATGGGGTTAAACAATATTTGCTAAAGATCGTGAACGCTTGATTGCATAAATAATTAATATATTCTTTATTGTCATGATACACTCTTGCAATAGCAATATTTCTTCAAATAGAAATTATCTATACATATTGACTGGTCTCCATATCTGTTGATACGGCTGATGTCACCTGCTGTGGTATATCTTCCAGTTGTTTCGTCCAGGTTGACCGTCCCCTCAAACAGCCCTCCCCCTGGGGATGTCACGAACGTCAACTGATATGTCAACACTGCCTCAGTTCTGTTACCATAGTGAACAGTCCTGTTGATGACGTCATTTAAACTTTGTTCAAAATGAAGAACCCGTTTATTTGGACTCATTAAAACTGCTTCTTTGATTTCTTGGATTTCTAAAACTTCACAAAGATGACCATAATAGAAAAGTTCTTCATTGATCTGATTTAGGATACTTTTAGCTGCGTTAGTAACATTAACTGACGACACCGGGACATGTTGCCTTTCCAAACACATGCACCAATGAGGCAAGATGGCGGCAGTGTCACATGACCTGTCACGTGGTACTTCACTGAACAAGCTAATACCTCGATCTGTCACACTAGCTTGTTGAACGTTCCCATCGAAGTATAATATATCCTTCAGAGTTTCATACACGTCAAACGGTGTCGTCAGTCTGTGAGAATTCTTCTTCATATTTTTAATTAACTGTGGATACTTTTTCTTAAACCATCGTGGAAGTACAAAAAATATAAACGGCAAACGCTCTTCAAGTTTTCCAACAAAAGTGTTCCGTATGTTCCCGTATCTGTTTCCATGGTCACTAAAATAAATCAACATCGTCTTTTCTAGAAGGCCGGACTTGTGTATTCGCTGAAGGTACCGGAAGTGAGGATCATCGGCTGCGCCTGCGTCGTTAACATTGTCATGACTGAGCCTCGTTATGAATGTAAATCCAAAGTGCGGTTTGTCTCGGTAAAGTTTGGAGAAATCTTCGGCATATTTCAACACCATGTCTGTCTCCAACCTGTCACCAACACAGTTGTGATCATGATTCCAGACCGATTTATGTTTCTCCATCGCAATACTAAACACTCTGTTGTAGTAGTCTGCCGGCGGAATGTGGAAACCCTCCTTTAAATATGTAAAAATAGCAATTTTAGGAGCATCTTCAGCATACAGAGTTCTATACCCACAGTTAGAAAAATTCTTCCATATGAAATTAAAGCCATCAAACGGTTTGCTTGACATCGTTTCATTCCAAGGTAGCTCGGCAACAAATTTGCCCGTTGTCATTGGTACAATGTTGACAAACGTATTATCAGCAACTTTGGTGTATCCCAACATTTCTATAGCTTCTAAATCCTCAAGAAGGTATGTTCTCGACATCGGCATCTGACGCATAAAATTTAATCTGGATAGTGAGTCAACTCCAACCATTAAAACATTCATTATTTCCTTTGGTTTGTTAATTGTTACATGACGTTTAATATTTTTCTCACATCTTTCATCCACGGCTTCTTTCGGAATAATCAGCGAATGGAAATTGGTGTTAATTGTACCCTCAGACTTGCTGATACAATAGATTCTTAAGAACTCATCTGAAATCTCAACATCCTGGTAAAAGGGATCTCCAAACTTGCCGTAAAAGAACTGAAAATCGGATTGGTTTTTCCCTCGCGTGATTGGTTGATATTTACAGTACTTAAAATCACCTTCATAGAAATCATTCACTGTTGTCCAGTTGATTCGTAGTACATTGCCATCTTCGTATGTAATAGACGGCTTCCCGTAACACAGAATTTTCCCTCGACGTCGAATAAATCGTGAAATAGAGCTATCGAAGGGATCCAGGTTGGGTATGCGACATGCTGGAGTGTCGACCAGGAACCCTTGAGGACGTGGAGGAGTTTGTGTGGCGATGACCAGTCGTTGCACAGGGCTGACTGGGACGACGGGAGTGATCCAGCGTGCGACCATAATGGTTGCTATGGCGCCAGCAACACTTAAGGCCAGGAAGAGTCGAATAAGCTTTCTGACCCGTGCCATGGAGTTCTCCTGTTGGAAGAGAAACAAAGATACGTCAAACGTTTATCATATCTATAACTGGCATCATATAATATAGGACATAACGTAGTTTAGATCTCCTCAATGGGTGATGTGTGTGTGCAGGGAACTAACTCCTGGATCTACACTCCTTAATACAGTGTGGATCTCAGGCAAAGGCAGGAATACTTTATTATATATGAATAGGAAAAGACAACACATACATTCAATTAACTGGTAAAGCTTTCAGATATTTCATTTCATAGTTAATTGGTAAGACATAATAATGAGCAATTAACTGGTAAAGCTTTTAGATAATTTATTTCATAGTTTAGAGTTAAGACATAATAATGAGCAATTAACTGGTAAAGCTTTTAGATATTCAAATAAATAGTTAACACAAAATAAGGAGATTTATCGAACTTATTCAGATACCATATTATAAGTGCCATGATCGCATACAACATTGTGCCTATATAACGTAGTAATGAATGACAATCATACTAATGACATAATATTTCATTATATATATTCAATAATTTCATTCATAAATTCAATTACAAAATGGACATAAACGATCATTTTTAAAATACCCTTCACGCTCAATGTAGCCAACATATCATAATTTGAATTTAAAAGTAAAAGTAAAAGATAAGTGAAATACATCACTTGTGCATAGGAGGAAACATTACCGTGCTGTAACCATGGTAACTAGATACAGACTTAGCGTCACTTGTGTTTGTGTTTTTCAAAGAATATACTGAGTTGGTATACCCATCCGAAGCGATTATTCACCAAAGATGTACTTTCAGCAAAAGCGTTCTGAAGTATTATGTTTTTTGAAGAGCCAACATGATGATAGAAATTCGTTATTTGTATTGGTAATGTGTAGATAAGAGGATAGAATCCTAGTTCTGTTCGGCTTGCCCAGTTGTTTGTTGTTTTGTTGACATTTAACATGTATTTACAAAATCTGAGCAGCAGTTTCTCGGGGATTTATGAAACAAAGTTGTTCAGGGGGATTGATTTCATTATAATATAGGATTACTGGCTCGATTAATGTTTTGAATCATTTGCAAGCAAGCGCTATAGGTATATCTTGGTTAAAATTGGTAGACTGAAGCCTGTGGTGGGCCTTTGGCCCTTTTTCAGGAGTGGTTTAGCACTATTTTTAAGTTAACAATTTGCTTCAAATGTTGTTCCTAAGTATATATATATATCCGTTACCAGTATTTTGATTCACCCACGCTCCAGGTATTCTTTTCTTATTTTTCTTGATTTGCCGAACACTACAACACTTGTTTTGTCACGATTAGTCTTTAGGTTATTTGTTGCACAAAATACATTTAGACTATCAAGTAGGGGAAGCGGCAAATAGTACTATGTCATCGGCAAACAAAAATGACAAATCGTTAAACCATTAAGTGTCATATTATTACCATCAGATTTGATATAATGTGGAAGATCATTGAGGAATATATTAAATAATGTGGGAGACAAAATGCATCCATGTCTTACCCAGATTTTAGAGTTAAAAGATTGTGAAATGCCCTTGTCAGTTTTCACTTTATAAGAGATATCATTATATAGTGATTATATTTTTAACACCTTTCCTGAGATTGTATTTGATAATAGCTTTGTTAGGAGTATTGATCTGTCAACTGAATAAAAGGCCTTTGGAAAGTCTACAAAGCAAGTGTATAGCTTTTTCTTTTTACTTTTTGTTATATCTGTTAATGTTTTAAGAACAAATACATTATCTGATGTTCGGCATCTCCCCGAGGCAAGAGAGCTTACTGACTTTTAAAGTCCAGTTTCCACCCTCGTCGAACTAGGCTGGAAGTCCTGGGCTCGATCGTAGCGGCACCAGTGGCTATTACGAATTATGTCCCTTCTAAGCCTCTCAAATGGACCAATCAGATTCCACCTCAAGATCAAGATCTATATTGTGATAAAACGGGTCTTACGTCGAGAAGTGCATCAAATCACGAGAGCACCTTGATTAAAAACATGAAACGATTTGGAAAATATCTTTTGACAACGAGTTGGCGGTGCACATGCTTTTGCAAATCCTGCAATAGACCGAAATCTGCACGACAGTTTACGGACCGGATTTCGATTTCATTGCACGATTTTGATTGGACTATGCATAGACTCGTTAGTCCAGCCAAAATGTAACTCCATAATGCCAGCCTAGTTCGGCAAGGATGGAAACTGGACTTTTATAGTCAGTTAACTCTCTTGCCAAGGGAAGATGGATGTTCGGTATCCCCTTCCAGATCCAGACTGACAGTGGTCTTGTATGAACGCATGGGAGTCATGGGAGCCGTGCTGATTTACACTTGTCAGAGGGTACACAAATAGTGATATAGACAATAATATTTTTCACCGATACAGACACCGGGATTGGATTAGTTCCTCAATACACTCTTGCTTGGTGTAAATGCATAGCATGCATGACAAAATCGTGTCATCCCGGGCTAAGCCGAAAACTTTCATGTTTCTAAAGATGCAAATGGCGACGATTGAATACACCGCTGCAATGTCTGAGTTTAACACGGGATACTTATGACGTCTGGAACTAAACCGGGAGTGGATACCAGATTTAGTTTTTTTTATAACGCAACAAAAACCATTTGTTTTATTGCGACAAGGTCCTCGGCTATCCAGTCAGCGCCATTCGTTGGATAAATTCACAGGAATAATTCGTCACCACAGCTTTATTTCGCAAGTGACATCACATTCTCCATCTCTTTCATCCCTAACTTAACTCATTTTTTTCTCTTGATCAGTCGTGTTATATGATTGGATGCCTTGATTCGAATCGAGATCAAAGCAAAGCTATGGTAGCGAATGTCTCCATTTGTTTTGATAAATAATACAGAGGCGGTAAAATAATCGATGATGTTGCGACAATTTTGACGGATATTTTGTTATGTCTACCTTCTGTGGATATTTTGGGGGCATACGGTTCTTGCTCATTTGCAACCCAGGCAAGTGTGATTAAAATCATTAACGTTCTCCTCAGACGGAGCTCTAACGTAGAACAAGAAAGTACCCCCCCCCCCCCCCCCCCCCCCCGATGTACTGGCACAGCTGCAGTCGTTGCAGATCAGGTATAGAGTAACCCAGCGAGTCCTCATCACGGCAAACGGTTGATCTCATAAATGTCAGACTTCAGCTTTATGGTGCTAATTGTTGCAAGTGTTAATTTCACGCCATCGACCGATTCACGCTCTGAAGTATTGTCATCACCTATCAGAGGTGGTACCGGCGCTGTTGTAATCAAAAGGGACACACTGTATCGTGCCCGATTCTGTTATTGTTTGCCGTGTGTAATCCTGCATATTTGCGGACTTACCGTTCAAAGCAGCGTGGAATCCAAGTTAGCACTCGTGTTGGTTGGTTTGTTGCTTTACGCCGCACTCAGCAATATTCCAGCTAAATGACGGCGGTCTGTAAATAATCGAGTCTGGACCAGACAATCCAGTGATTAATATCATGATCATCGATCCAGGCAATTGGGATCGATGACTTGTATCAACCAAGTCAGCGAGCATGACCACCCGATCCCGTTAGTCGCCTTTTACGACAAGCATAATCACCTTTTACGGCAATCATGTTGGAATAGCTGCAGTACAAGTAATGGTGTAAAGCAAATGTTGTTGATTAAGCGGCTAAAGACATTTATAAAGTTCCTGGGTTTACTCTAACGAGGTACTGACACCTGGTAGTATTTGTTGTGGCTGCTACAGATGTATAAAGTACGTTGTGTAAAGTAGTCAGTGAGCACCCATTCCAAGCGCTGTTTAATCCATTGTTTCGTCTTTTGGTCACGTGTTACTTTAGGTCATCCAGCCTTTAAGCATCACTCTATGGCTTCCTTCAAGATAAAAAAAAGTGTGAGTTGTGGGTGATAAATGTACTCATAGTAAAAACAACAGTCATAATACGAATAGTCATAATACGAATGTGAATTTGGTTCTTGTTTTAGACAAAGAAAGGTTTCGGAAAAGAAACTTTGATTTAAAAGAAAATAGACCTTTTTATTCTGTATGTTTTCGTAAGGAAACGCCTATGTTCAGACTACATCCATTGTCCTTACTTAGTTCCTCCACACACTAGAGGCATATTGGAAGAAATGGAGACACATGTTGTGGAATATCAACCCCACGCATTCGTTCTGGCAAGTATGATCAATTAAGATAAATCAGATACAACGTGTGTGTGTGTGTGTGTGTGTGTGTGTGTGTGTGTCCAAAATATGTCGTAGGCCAAACCACACCAATACCCCAAGTGAGTAGCGACCTGCAGTCGTGATACAGGATAAAGAGACCATGCGTACAGGTTGCTGGAAATTGTCGCATATTGACTTCCATACTTCGTATTACATAACTAGGAAGGTTAATTATATTCCTGTAAAAAACATATTTTGAACAATTTTGCTTATATTTTTCAGCTGAAGTTGGAGTTATTACAATTTGGAAAAAATGCAAATCGGTGCATTACTTCACAATTTAAAAAAAATAATCATATCACAAAATTAACTTGAATGTTGTTGATGGGACGATCTGTTAGATTGAGGATGATGTTAGAAACTAACGGAGCAATAAAAACAAAGTATACACTTGATTTGACCATTAAAATACAAACGTTGTCAAAGCGGTACAAGGCTTTCAAAACGATACAAACTAAATGTCTAAAACTCATCTATGATCCCCGTTGTTTTTTCGAAAATGTACAGTCAAGCTTTTGTAAGTCATTTCAGGATTCACCGACAGAAAGTATTGACAGGCTATCGACAAGTGATGCTTTTTATAAGAAATAAACTTAACATGAACAACTTGAAGAATGTGTTACAGGACACTATGTCTTCTGACATTACGCGTAACCTTGTCCTGCACCACGAACGTGGATTATTGGCACTGTTTATTTCATTTCTAGTTCCCTTAGCAAGTCTAGAGGATTAAAACAGGAAAGTCTGCGGATACGCTCGTACGTCGTATTCCACATAAAATCAACATAAGTATCAGGCATTCATAGATTTGATTCAATTTTAAGACAAAGGAATTTAAAGAGAATACAACATCATCGACTACGCTTATAATCTGAGTGGATCCATGGGCCTATTGATGAATACATTATAGAGTATAGGGGTATATTAATACTCACATCTTGATTCGTGGACTTCTAACACGGTAGGTTGACACAAATCCAAGGTTTCTAAACGGTGGTTTAACTGCGTGTGGGTGTATAAAACTAGGAACCACAACGAACAATCTGCATGTGTCATCGCGAATCAAAGTCGGGCTACTTCAGGAGTGCACCTGCGCTGCATTGCAACAATTGCAGGCAAGGCGAAATGAAGTGAGGTTGAGAGTACTAAATACTGTTCAGATCGATCAAAAAACAGTTACTGAGAAAACCATTACCTGAATATAACAAGGGTTGGTCCTGGTTTTCAATGGAGTCCTCCCGTGCGTCTGGGCGCCTCGTGTTATCACAGAGCGTCTGAGACACCAGTCACTGATAACACCATGGAGATGCAGTGTCGGATTTCAAAATCCTCCTCCTCAGCTACCGAAGTTCCTAAATCCAGAATAGGAGCCATAAATCGATATGCAAGTATCCCAACTTTTCAAAAGTGAAAAGTTCAGCTGAATATACTTCTTTGAAGAAGTGGGAATAACTACCCCTCCTTGTTCCAAGGCGATCGCGTACTTTCGTCAAGACATTCTTCTGCGTGTGTTTGGCAGTGGAACCTAAAGTAGGCTATAACGATGATGTTTACGGGGTGCCGTGCCATAACAGAAGGGAGGTAACTCATGTTGGCTTGTGTAACTTGGAAAATATGGTTGCCATGTGTCTGTTGAACACCCTGTGAGCCTAGCGTTACATGTGGTAATGATTCTCACCTATTGTGTGAACCTATTCCTGTGTTCATTTACATGTTAATTGCTAAAATATGCTGATTTGTCGTTTAATTGTGTCTATTTGTGAATATTGTCCCCCCTCAATTAATAACGATTAACATGTTCATAACTTTGCAAATATATTAAGATAGCCTAAAACAAATCGGATCATTGCACAGTGTAATGAAAGTTCAAAACTGAAAACAATCGTAAATATCTTTCTTTTCTCATAACTCATGTATAAAAGTAATAGATGACAATAATAAATAGCCTAGAATGTATTGTGAATATTACATTGCCCTAGATAGCTCTAGTACGTCAGCTTGTTTGCTTGTTTGTTGTTTAACGCCGCAGTCAGCAATATTACAGCCATATGACGGTGGTCGGTAAATAATCGACTCTGGACCAGACAACCCAGTGATTGACACCATAAGCATCTATATCCACGGGATACGATGACATTCGAAAACCAAGTCAGCGAGTCTGACCACCCGATCCCATTAGTCGCCTCTTCGACAAGCATAATCGCCTATTACGGAAGCATGGGTTGCTGAAGACCTATTCTACCCCGGATCTTCACGGGTTAATACGCCAGCACATGCCAGAATCTCAAAGAAATATCGCATGTATTTCAAAGAAAACGATAGCTTGCTCTTCAAGGAACGGAGGTGATCCCGACAGTGCACCAATCTATTGACCCGCAAGTCCATCCTAAAGTATTGGAGTTACGACCGTCTTAGCGCTGCGATCGTTGACAGTACGAAATCTTGAAATTTTCTATGTTGCATTTGTCTTATCAAACTCAAGTGGATGTATGAATGCTCCCTCGATGGTGAGGCACCTACTTTACCACGAAACTGTGACTAAGCAGTCCTTTCTCAATTAATTTTTCCAGTAAAGACTTTTTTAATATGTATATAATGCCAGCCCATATCAATATTTCATTTATGATGTACATTGTATATGCACGCGATTAATAAAGACGTTTTATCGTACTTTTTGTACTCTGCGTAATCCGGACCTCTGGGTAAACCGCATTTTTTATCGTTCCGAACCGATCGGAATTTACTGTTATCTATATCTTGTATGCACTTAAATGATACATGATAATTTTAAAGGATATGATTACCGAAAAGATAAAATCTGTATTCATGTTCTATTGACTACAATGAGGGTTTTCTTGAATTAAACAGAAATAACATTTCTTTAATGAGCATTTAAAGCATATATAGCCCGTGTTTCAAATATTTGTATTCTGTTCTGATCGTATTATCATATGGTAGAGAAAATTTTTGATTGTGTGGATATATAATTTCAGACTGGTCGTGTTTGAAAATTATTACTAATGATAAATATATATAACTTTTCAGTGTCGTTTCTTTTCCTTTTGGTAATTCAAGTTATGATAATGTATTAATGATACTCATTATTAGAAAGAAATTAAGACGTCAATTGCATTTACAAGTGTGTATCTTTCATGAATGCAGGCCCATAAATGGACGTCTTAAACTGTATTCATAACAAAAAACAGCTGAAGGTTTTAAGCATGACATTGTTGGCCGACTAAAAAGTGGGATTTGCAGAATCGGTTGATAAAATACAGCACCGTGTATCATACCAAAACATATTATGTATATCCAAAAATATGTATATCCAATGCTCTACATTGGATGTTCAATGAAAACCAAATGAATAATAATGAGGATCAATCCAATGTTTCATTTGAAAGTATAAACTGGTCAGCTACTTAATATAACCAACTTTTATTAACCAATGATTATTAACACCCCAACGCCATTTTGGCAATACGTAGAAATATGGTTACCTCCCCTTGATGTTCGGTTATTTCCGTGACAATCCGGTAATTTGCGAGTGAAAAACAAAAATGGCCGCCTCTTGGATTGAGAAAGTTGGCGAAGTGTAAAGATGACTTCATATTCAAGTATTGGTAAGATATAATTGAGGATCAAATCGCCAGTTTTGAAGATTCGCCTTTTTTCTTTATTTTGAGTGTCATTTGTATTATTTTGAAGTCATATTAATTAGTAAAATTGGATTTGTTATAACCAACCGTCTCGTGCTTACGATTTTGCAAGTCTGTATTCTGATTACACTACCGCCTCGATTTTATCGAAAAGGGTCCAGAAATCGGGGAATGTAAATTGTCCATAGTCAGTATTTTGAAAAACACGTGTCGTATATAAGGTTGTAGATATTGTTGCTTATGCAGCATTGACGACCTACATGATTTCTCCAAGCCAATATTAGCCTGCTCGAGAACCCCCGTGTGCTGACATTCTCTCATTGTTTGCGTTTCGGAAAAGAACGGTGAATAAATCGCAGTTTGTCACTATCAAACGTGTTCATGGACACGTGTGATGGTAGACTTTGTGTTAAGATGATTCTCATTTTCAAAGTTGGGAATAAATGTTTTCCGAATATGGATTATGTAAACTTGTCACTGATAGAAATTGTCACTAGACCTAGTCCTCTCATCCTTGCTATTTTATACCAAACTGCCCAATATAGTTAGGTATGTAAGGACTTGTAGAAATTTGCACTTTTTAAGTGTTTTGTATATGTTATCATTACAAGGACCATTGTACTAAAGTTGTTTCTATCGCAGCATGTACACACCCATGACCTAATATACATTTGACAAAAATGCACACAAAGCATAACATGATCCAGTGAAATGAAACAAAATACACTGTTCTCCCAGCAATATATTGGTTATTCTCATTATTTCAAACATTATCAACTGGATAAACGTTTACCAGGATTATTGGTACTGTCTGATATAATGAACATGTAAGATGTTATGATTGTGATAACTGTTTATAACAATAAGAGTCTTAAAAATACAGTTAATATTGATTCAGAATTTCCTGAAATTAATAGTAGCCAGCGTCAATACTACTGTTTTTACCAAATACATCATAATTGACATACAAGTGCTTGACAATGCCACTATCATTCGCTGGTCCAAGACTAGTGACAATACTGATGGACTAAGTTGTTTACATTCACAAGTTCCAGAATCTAGTTATTTTACACGAATCACAAGTCTGACTTGGGCCGTGGGCTAATATAATTGAACACATGGTGTCTGCTTACTCTGACAAAGTAATAACTGTTCCAAGACATTTAATTTTAGACACTGGGGACACCTTGGGGATTCCGGTCAAGAATGTGCCCCAAGTACCTCATGCTTGTAGTAAGAGCCAACTAAAATGTGGGGATAAGGTGGTCTGTCTCAGCAATTGTGGTCAAATGTGGAATGATGGCAAATCTTTCTATGCTAAGTAATAATGAGAACATTTAGACTGTCTGTCAGTGATTCAAAATCATGTTGGAACTCACATCAAATTTGGTATAGTCTGTACCCATGTGTTAAGGTATTTATAAAACACTTTTATGGAACAGTAGAAAGGCAACTTGCTCTTGCTCTAGTATTTACCACATGACTTGCCACACTGAAGCACATGTAGCATGTATTATCATGGATATATGTGTCTTCAGGCAAGTGACTTATTTCTAAATATGCCTATGGTCGCCCAGCAGTGAATGGGTACCCAGTAGGATGAGATGGTAATATGTCATTCAACATTCTAGCCACTCATGGGTTGTGTGTCATGGGTTGTATACTCTCCAGGAAGCTGAGAATGGAAATTGAGGGCCCACTGATCCATTGATCCAATAATGGTGCACTTTCAACCTGATATTTAGCTTGAAACAGTGCTATACAAGTGGGTGGTGATCATGATTATATTTGTTGTTATTATTATCGTGAAGCTGTGACCTGACGCACTAGCCTCTGGTCTGGGCTCCAGTGCATGATATGTCTTCACAACACTCTAAGTATGGAAAAAGGGCTACTGCGGTAGTTTCAGTGGCTGTCTTCAAATGTAGAATTTAACCAAGGTATCAAATGAAATAAATAAGCATTAAAAGCTAAATAGCAATACCAAGTAGAAAACATACATATTCACCATGTGCACGACTGGGACTATTATTGTTCACTTTACAGAACAAGATGATAAAAAATATTTTCTCAAAAAGTGTGGAATTATATCCCTTCATCATGTTCATCCTGTATAATGACAATGTGTTGGTACTTTCAACAAATAAGCTGATCCACTAGCAGGAGCATGACTAGACAAATGACTGTAAACATCAATCCGTGTACATGGTGCATGCAATCTAATAATTGTTATAGTCCAAGTGTTTAAATGAAAACTTTTAAGTACCAGCCTCTTCATTTTGTAAACCTAGTATACTGATATATCTAACCTCCCAGCATGAACACAAGAACCCCTCTTCAGTCCAGTGGTAGAGTGTCTGTCTGGAGAGCGGAAGGTTGGGTTTTATCCCCAGTCACATTATTCCAAAAGACCTTAAAAGATGGTACCCTGCCTGGCGCTCAAGTCAGTAGACTGTCTGTGTGGGGTATTCATGTTAATCTGTGGCATGTTTTCTCAGTGGGCTAGCTCTATAAAGTCGGCATTAGTCCGGTCTAGTACAAGCAGCTACACACACGCACATGCATGCACGTCGCTACAGTGCAATAATCTTGAACACGATGTTAAACCCCATTTCACCTCCCCATCTCACCCAGCATGAACAGACTAATGTCAGAAATGCCAGAATATTTAATGTGACGTAAAGAAGTGAAATAGTTTTAACATTATTTTGTAATTGTCAAGCAAAGGCGATATGGCACTTGCCAAGTTGACTATCATCAATAAATTCCATTTTGAAATGCTGCTATCTCAATTAATTGATTATCATGATTATGCAGTCACTGCTTATTGTAACCTTTCGTTTAGTCAAGCCTAGACCCTGATATAGCAATGGTATGCATGTTGTTCCTTCACTCACAGAAAATGGCAAGTCAGGCATGCTTTATTAAAATGTGTATGTTGACAATGCACTGTTTTTTTTACTGAGAAGTCTGTTGCATGTCATATGTTAGTTATTTTGAACATGTTTTGGATTATGACTGGAATTTATGAGTCATAGCACTGGGGTTTATTCAAGTTTTAGTTACAGCATGTTGCAACTTTTTGTGATTCTATATTTTATGATTATTTTTATTTATTAAAATGGAATAAACAGTGTGGTTAGAAACTAGAATAGGTATGCCTTTAAAATTGCTATCTGTGTAAACATGATAAACAAGATGTTTGCTAAAATGTTCTTCCTCATTACTAGACAGTAGATAACACTCCTGCAATCCAGGAAGTAATGATCAACAACAATTGATTATTCATCTATCACATAAAAGGGGCTTGGGAGGCTGAGTGGTCCCTTTTTTTGGTCCCAAGTTTTGTCCCTTAGCCGTTCCAGTATCAACTAACATGGATTCAAATACAAAATTAATCTCAGTTATTATCCTTGATCTATCGGCAACAACCTATGATAGTGGGTTTCATTGAAGTGGTAAGCGTACAATTACAACCTCCATCACATTCCATCAACTTTGAGTTCTCGAAACCATGATACAAATGAAATGCTGTTCAAATATGTCAAAGTGACCCAAAAAACCCATGATTCACTCAATCTGATAATATAGGAAACCTAAAAAGAAAGTATACTCTGATACTATAGAATTGTAATATTTGATTGATGCATAATGCAGTAAGAACCCAAGCCATTATCCAAAACACAAAGTTTTAACATGTATGTGGTAATTATATGAGTGCATGCATTTGTATGGCCCTGGGTAGAAAAGACCGTCTCCATGGTCTAGTGGTAGAGTGCCGCCCAGAGAGACGAGGTCCGGGGTCTGATCTCTGGCCGCGTCATACCAAAAGACGTTAAAAGATGGTACTTGTTGTTACTCTGTCTGGCGCTCGGCATTAAGGGGCTAAAACAAGGAGTGGTCGGCTCGGAGTCAGTATACTGTGTCTGAGTGGGATATTCATGTTAAACTGCGGCATGGTATCTCAGTCAGCGAGCTAGCACCATGAATCGGCATCAGTCCGGATTAGTACAAGCAGCCACACAAACACACACACATGTACATGCACATCACTATATAAGTGCAATAATCTTGGACGTGACGTTAAACCCCATTTCACCTCACCTCACCTGAGTAGAAAAACTGGATAACGTGGAAAACAGCTGTCAAAACTCAATGACATGGCTTTCATTGAAGGTTTTTTGATTGGTATATTGGCAAGAACAGAATACACACTTTCTGTTTGATACATTGAGAATGAGAGTGAAAGTTAAATTAACAATTATTGAATTAATAATTAATAATGCAAGAGGGACTGTGATGTTCTTTGGTCTGGGTGGGCTCTGGCCGTTCTGGCCTTCAAACTGTGAGCTGTTCAATATTGATGAAACTTTGTCCCCAACAGTTGTTTTGTTCATGGCTCAGCAACCTTACATGTCATTTCAGTATGACACACCTCGGCCACATGTGGCTCATGGCAAAACTGTGTTTCTCACTCAGAATTATGTCCATGTCCAGGGTGTTCACAATATTTAATCCCTGTTGAACACCTTAGGGATGAGCTTGATTGCTGTGTATACCGTTTTCTAAGATTCTTTGCTAAAAGATCAAAGGCACACTTTTTGAGTTACGCCATAATGGTCTGACATGATGACCCTGTTCAAAAAACCTCCCCTGTATCCTTGGTAACATTGTTCTCTCCTTACTGTCAAGCAAGATGGCGCATCTACATCAATTATTGATTAGTGTAATAGTTTCTTTGGACTGGTGGGGTAATTGAATGTTATTACCCGGGAAGAAATATAGCAGTATGATGTCAACCATCTCAAATGCTCCAGGGTTTTCCCCCCCACATATTCAAACCACTTTGTCAGCTTTAGAAATTGGCACTAGTCATGTAGTCCTTGCCAAACTGCCCAATAGAATTTTGCCCTTTTTAAGAGTTTTGGTATATATGTTATTATGAGGACTAGTGGGCTAGAACT